AAAATAAACTTGAACCGCTTAAACAGACCTACTCTGACTTCTTCTGCAACCGAACCAACCACAAAAAACAACAAACCCTAAACCCCAAGTTTCCACGGCACATCGAGGGAGCCCAGGTGCTCACCTCAGGGCTCGTTTGGGGCGGAAGTCGGAGACCAACACCCCTACCGGAAAGATCCCAGTCACGGGGTAGTGGTGTTTGCTTGGGGCCTATTTACGTTTTCGCAGTGTTCGTAGGGCATTGAGGGCTTAAGGCCCTGAATGGGTTCAGGGTTGTGTTGGGCGAAGGTGGTGTGGGGGTTTTGAGGAAAAGCAGACTATTGTTGCACAAAACGACAGACTAGGAGGGGATATAAGATTGGTTGCTTTGGGCTTTACCATGTACACTTCATCTTGAGTTCTATATAGGGTCGTCAGCTTTCAGGGCATGAATAGTTTCAGAGGTCGAGGCGACTATCATATGTGGGAGGGGAGGGGGCGCGGCAGGTGTTAACTAAATAATTCGTATTAGTTGATGCATTAGTATAAAAACTATGGAAGATTTCACCAAAGTACAACCATGAATGAGCTTCAATTTCGCAGCAGTGAAATAGAAACCCTTAATTCCGACAACCCTGAAAAGACAAACCACAAATACAGACAAGAGATAGAGCCACCCCGGGATTGCAGCACAGCAGCAAGGCAGGGATTAAAAACCGAAATGGTTCTGTCGGTTTTGTTGTGTGTTGTGAAACTACAGTGGGCGCCAAAAACTGTTGGAATATAGGCACCCTGACATTCAGCACTCCATGAGCGAGCGCGTGCAAGTTCCAAATTTGGCACTATGTTCCAGCAACATTCTGACTGACTGGACCGGCCGGAAAACCAGCGTAATGTCATCAAGGTTGGGCCATGGATGATACGGACATCATTATGCTTGGAGGTGGGGGGGCACCTCTGGGGGGGAAACAACCTAACCTAGCACTAACCTAAACCCTAAGCCCAGCTTCCCCTGATTAGGGGACCTAAAAAAATATATAAAACTACACACTGGGCCCTAAACCCTACGTGCCCGCCGACCCCTGTCTTGGGGAGCAAGGCACCCTAAACCCTAAGCCCGGTTTCCCCTAAAATTTGGGGACCTAGGCACATGCATGTGTCCTAAACCACCCTGAAAAAACCCTGAAACGAAACCACCCCCACACGCCAACCGCAACCCTATGAACCGGGGGTGGCGGGGGGCGGGTTGGGAGGGGGTTTGAGCCAACACAAACACGCCTATACAAACAAGCATGGGGAGGCGTCAGTGCTCGAGTGTGCGATTCAGGTCCTTTCGATCCATGCCATACCGCTGGCTAGCGATATGGTTGTGGGGTCCCCGTACACGTATCTCTCTGCAATACTGGAACGGCCGTAGTAATCAATTGGAATTTCCCTCTCTGCCCTGCTGGAAGGGTCGCAATATTTACAGTTTGTATCTCAGCTTGTATCCCTGCAGTACTGCAGGGGTCTTTGTAGTTCCAGTTTCTGTCTGTCTGCAATATTGGCAAAGGTCGCAATAATTCCATTTTCTTTCTCTGCAATACTGGAGCGGTTGTAGTAATTGCAGTTTCTCTCTCTCTGCAACACTGGAACGGTCGTGGTCATTGCAGTTCCCCTCTCCTTGCAATAACGGAAAAGTCGTAGTGATTGCAGTTTCTTGCTGTTTGCAATACTGGAGCGGTCGTTGCAATTGTAGTTTCTCTTTTTCTGCAATACTGCAGCTTTCGTGGTAATTGCAGTTCCTCTCTCTTTGCAATACAGGTTCCAGCTTTCCTTTTGGCGGCTTTCTGACCATGTTCCAACTTTAGCCTCCGAGATCAAAGTTGGAACCTGTGGTTTGGGGCCAATTTGCTCCTGTGGACACGTTCCAACCTTCTGGCTTCCACCATAAGCCTAAACCCTAAAACCAGCAGAAATCGGCGCTAAGCCGTTGTAGACCGGAGTTGTTGTGTGTTTGTGCATTGAGTCTTATCGGGTTCAGGGTGCGCGCCTAAACCCAAGTCAGGAACTTCGACTATCGAACGAATCTAACCTGAGCTTATTATTTAGGGTTTAAAGTTTGAAGGGTTTAAAGTTTGAGATATACTAAAACCGGTTTGAGGCTCAGGCCGTCTGCCAGTCGACGAAAAGCGCACGACAGCCGGAACCTGGGCCAAGCCCCAAATCTGCGACCCTTCCAGCACAATACCCCCAGGACCTAAAACCTGAAACCTACACAAACCCTTTTGCCATTGACTTAACCTACGCCTTAAACACACACAACCGAAACAACATCCGAGCCTACACCGTGAATATAACATCCCAACTTTGGAACTTGGAAACCCACACCTGTGCGACTACATACGCCCTGAACTTGAAAGCCAATGGTACCTGATTTCCCCAACGACGATAAAACCCTGAACTCTCAAATCCAGCTCTGTGGGCCTGACCCTTTAGAGGCTTCGAACCCCAAGGATTTGAAAATGCTAAACACTTCAACCTCACCATACAGGGTCGCGAATGTTCTCAAATCCCACCCCAAAAGTTGAGAAACCGAGCTGCTTCTCGGTCATCGAATCATCATGCCAGTGGATCTCGCTCGCACTTGCCCATGCGAAGCGGTGGAAGGGGGGTTCTAAGGTGCATTTGGGATCTTCGAGCCCCTGGGAGCTACAGATCATAAATCTTCCTTACAGCCATCAAACAGAGTGACGAGAACGATTATGGTTAAAAGTATGGAACATAGGCCAGAATGGGAATGCAAGGCTTAGAACAAACCCACCTAGATTCCTAATAGTTTGTTGGGTCTTTGACCCCCTAAAGTGTTTTACGTGGCCTTCATCCGACCGTGGCCCCAAACTACTAAGATCTCGAACATCCCTAAAATTGCTTCGTCGCATGATATCTTTGATCTTTGTCGTCTGTGGGTGCTCCGCACTCCTAACCTTGCCTGTGGTGGGTTGGTGGGTTGGGTTTCTAAAAGTCATATTATCTTCATGATTCCCCAATACAAACACACAAACAAATACATCAATTTTTGAAAGTACTTGTATGGTGTAAAACCGTAAATACAACATCAAATGTAATAAAATGTTCGGGTTCATGGACTGGCTTTAATATAAATATACATACATATATATATATATATAAACTAAAAAAATGCATACCTGCGCTCTGGTGAGAAAAGAGTCCGTCTGTGAAGCGTGGTGCTGTGGAGTTCGAGGGTAGGAATTTGGTTACATGTTACTGCGCTTTGCACTCTAGCCTTGCCTGTGGTGGGTCGGTGGGTTGGGGTTCTAAAAGGTCATGTTTTATGTATGCTTTCCTCAATACAAGCACACAAAAAAGGAAAATCTTTTTTTGAAAGTACTTGTATGGCGTAAAACCGTAAATACAACATCAAATGTCGTAAAATGTTCGGGTTCATGTATTGGCTTTAATAGAAATAAACATATATATATATATATATATATAAACTAAAAAATGCATACCTGCGCTCTGGTAAGAAAAGAATCCGTTTCTAAAACTCATGTTTTCTTTCTGCTTTCCCCAATACAAACACACTCGGTCCGAGTTTGCCTGCAGGGAGTGAGTTGGATACAGCTTGACGGCCGCAAGTGCGTAAAGTGCAAACCACTATGCAACAACACGCTCGCTGAGGTGAGCATCTAAACAGTATCATCGATACCAAACCCTCACGCATCTAAATATATATATATATATATATGTACACACACATATCTATCGTGGTTTCGGGTTAAGAACGCCCACATTGCAACCAACATCACTTTCCAACCTGCATGGCTGCCGTAAAGGATGATGCTAGAGATTCTAGGCTTTGACGTTATCAGTTAATAGGGTTGTTAAGAAGCTTTCCCAACCGGTTGCAAAGTGGGGATTCCGGAAAGGCTCATGGGTTGTAAAGTGGGGGTTCTGGTTGTAAAGTGGGGATTCTGGTTGTAAAGCGGGGTACACGCGGGGGGGTTCTTTTAAAGGGATACATAAGGGGCTCCTTCAAAGGGATATTTAAGGGGTTCCTTTAAAGGGTTACATAAATGGGTTCCTTTAAAGGGATCTATAAGGGGGTTCCTTTGAAGGGATACATAAGGGGTTCCTTCAAAGCGATCTATAAGGGGTTCCTTTAGGTTTTGTTCATAAATGGGGTTCCTTTAAAGGTGTCGATAAGTGGTTTAGGGTTACAGGGGTTAGGGTTTGGTATGATGATGAGTATTATGACGGTCAATATATTTATCATGATGTTGATTTCGCCTGTTAGTTTATGATGATTACTATCATGATGGTTGTTATTAGATATTTTATCGTAATCTTATGATTATTCTTCTTCTGAATCTACGTAACATCAGTATTATATTGATATGACGATTACTTTTCAAACTATTGTCAATTGGCAGGCGGACGGAGCCATCCTCTTGACTTTCGCAATCGGCTGCACACTGGTCTTCATCTTCGCCAGCCTCTCCTTAGGTCACCTTGCCACTGGGCTCTTGTTGGGTTTGGGGTTTAGGGTCTTCTGGAACTTAACTTAAGTTTAGGGTTTAGGGGTTTGGGTAAGTTGAGGAACTCAGGTTAAGTTGGCATGGGAGGGTTCCTCTAAGGGTTCTATAAGGGTTCAGGGTTACGGAACTAGTTTTTCGCTGCCATAATTAACGTAGGAAAACTATGATTCACTGGCAACTTAAACCCTAAAGATTACCCCAAGGGTCCAAGTACTGTACCCAATAATCATATATTCTCCAAAGTCCCAACCTACGTAACTACTATCCCCAAGCCGTCCTTTGGACCCTTAGGGTCAAAGCCTAAAGCCTAAACTCAAAGGGTAATAGGAGAAAAGCTTAATAAGGACCCCTAGGTACAGAACCTTTATAATAGCTATTATATACCCATTATATGGTGCATTATCGGGTAGGGGTCCCCATTAAGGGTCCCTCCTTTTGCCCTTGGATAAACCCTACCAAGCTCCTCCACGAAGAGCCCAGGCAATGATCGCCGACGCAAAGAACAAGACGGCGCTGATGCCCTGGGTACTCATGCACGGGGTTTTTTGCATCTCAGACATCTGTGGTTTAGGGCTCATAGGGCCTATAGGGTTAATAGGGTACACTTTATTTGATTTGGGATAACAGGATCCCTGGTAGATGTGAAAGTGTACACTTTACGCCTTTTCGAACAACGGCACCCCTTATGGAATTGTAAGTGTGTCCTCGTTTTTGGCCTAAACCCTAAATCTTCAACCCTCAACCCTAAACCTCAAACCCTAAGCCCTGAGCTCAGCAACTCGACTACTACTGCCACTACTACTAGTACTACTACTACTACTACTACTACTACTACTACTACTACTACTACTACTACTACTAAGGCATGCTGTCCCTGGCCGCGACCTTCTCTTTGTGGATCTCCGTCGCAGGGCACGAGGGTGGGACGAACTGCACGAAGCTTCAGGCCCAGAGCGCGAAACCCTTTGGGTTTAATGTAGGGGCCTTAATTAAACACCTAGGGTTCCCTTTAAAGGGATCCCTACAGGGGCTCTATAAGGGATCTATATTAGGGTGTTGGGGTTGTGGGGTTTTAGGGTTTCGGGTGTTAGGGTTTAGGGTGTATGGCTCTAGGGCTAGTGTTAGGGTTCAGGGCTTTTAGGGCTTGGGGTTTAGGGCTTAGGGCTTACGGCTTAACGCCCTAAACCCTAAACCCCAAACCCCTGTCCCCTCTAAAAGCCCCAAACGTGGAAGCCGAAGGCTCTGAGCCCGACGTTCTGCGCGGAGCAGTCTTTAGCATGGATCCCTGGGTCTGCGAGATTCAGGGTTTAGGGTTTAGGGTTTAGGATTCAGGGTTTAGGGTTTAAGGTTTAGGGTTTAGGGTTAAGGGTTCAGCTGCTCCGGATCGAGCAGTTTTAAAGTAGAGTTGTATTTACGGTTTAGAAATAACACCCACCCACCCTTAGAATCCCATAACATAAGCCATATAAAGTCCTTCATCATCATTCAGAGAGTTGTACCTACAACCTAGCTTGTCACACTTCAATGTCGCCTTCCCACACCACTAGGAAAATACAACAGTTCATATTGCAACCCTAGGCCCTAAACCTTAAAGCCCAAACCCTAGGCCCTAAACCTTAAAGCCCAAACCCTAGGCCCTAAACCCTAAAGCCCTAGGCCCTAAACCCTAAAGCCCAAACCCTAGGCCCTAAACCCTAAAGCCCAAACCCTAGGCCCTAAACCTAAAGCCCAAACCCTAGGCCCTAAACCCTAAAGCCCAAACCCTAGGCCCTAAACCTTAAAGCCCAAACCCTAGGCCCTAAACCTTAAAGCCCAAACCCTAGGCCCTAAACCCTAAAGGCAAACCTTAAACGACGAAGGTTCGGCCTTAAACGACGAAGGTTTGACCTTAAACGACGAAAGTTCGGCCTTAAACGACGAAGGTTCGGCCTTAAACGACGAAGGTTCGGCCTTAAACGACGAAGGTTCGGCCTTAAACGACGAAGGTTCGGCCTTAAACGACGAAGGTTCGGCCTTAAACGACGAAGGTTCGGCCTTAAACGACGAAGGTTCGGCCTTAAACGACGAAGCTGGGGGCTCAGACCTTCGTCGTTTAAGGCCGAACCTTCGTCGTTTAAGGCCGAACTTTCGTCGGTTAAGGTCAAAAACCCGGAGGTGACCTTAAACGACGAAGGTTCGGCCTTAAACGACGAAGGTTCGGCCTTAAACGACGAAGGTTCGGCCTTAAACGACGAAGGTTCGGCCTTAAACGACGAAGGGACGGCCTTAAACGACGAAGCCATTAGGGTTTAAATCTCTATATGAAAGAGAGGTTTAGGATTCAGGATTTAGGGTTTAGGGTTTAGGGTTTAGGATTCAGGGTTTAGGGTTTAGGGTTTAGGGTTAGTAGGCCCAGATTCATCAAAGGGGAACAGGAGGGACCCTTAATAAGGACCCCTACTCTATACTGGGCTATATAATGGGTATATAATGGCTATATTAAGGGTATATTACCTAGGGGTCCTTATTAAGGATCCCTGGGTCTGCCTTAAAGGGATCTATAAGGATTCTATAAAGGGTTTAGGGTTTAGGGTGTATCAAAGGGGAGAAGGAGAATGGGATCTATAGGGATTCTATAAGGGGGCGATCGCTGGGTCCAGCCTTGTCCTGTTTCTTATAAACCATTATGAAAGGGAGCCCCTATGGATCCCTTTAAAGGAGCCCTTTATAGATCCCTTTAAAGGAATCGTATGGAACCCTTATATTTTATATCTTGGTTCCCCCAAAAGAATAAACAGACCGCCCAGAGACTCCAATACCCCTTAACTAAGGAATATACCTTGAATTATAGTAGGATCCTTAATAAGGTTTAAGGTATATTCCTTAATTAGGGGGTATTGGAGTCTCTGGGCGGCTAGTAGACCTTCTTAAACAACTCCTATGAAGGGATAGAGGTATATTGCTCTGTCTATTATTTCTAGAAGGACAAGGATCCCTGGGTCTGCCAGGTTCGGGGGATTAGGGTTCCTTTAAAAGGAGGTTTAGGGGGTTTTAGGGAAACCTTTAAAGGGGGTTTTAGGGTTCCTTTAAAAGGAGATTCAGTAGGTTTAGGGGTCCTTTAAAAGGAGGTTTAGGGGGTTTTTGGGTTCCTTTAAGAGGAGGTTCAGGAGGTTTTAGGGTTCCTTTACAAGGAGGTTTAGGGTTCCTTTAAAAAGGAGGTTTAGGGTTGCTTTAAAAGGAGTTTTAGGGTTCCTTTACAAAGAGATTCAGTAGGTTTAGGGTTCCTTTGAAAGGAGATTCATGAGGTTTGGGGTTCCTTTAAAAGCAGAGATCTATAAGGAGGGGTGAAGGCTTTAGGGTCTTAGGGTTTAGGGGCTAGGGGTTTAGGGGTTGAAGGTTTTAGAGTTTTTCAGGTTTAACGATCCAGGGGTGTAGGGTTCCTTTAAAAGGAGCTAAAAGGGTTCCTATCAGGGATCCATAAGGAGGGTATACGGGTTGAGGGTTTTGAAGGGAAATTGAAGTTCCGAAAATCCTAAACCCTGAGGCATCCTCCTGGCTAGGAGGACCTGGCAACTAAGGATAAGTCAGAAAGTTGGAGGGTTTAATTAGGGTTGGGGGGAACATCATGATACTTACGGCCTTCACGCAAAGTTTCAGGGAATCCCAGCACATATGATCCTTAGTCGCCTTAGTCCATGTTCCATTTTTCTAAGCTTCACTCTAAGGATAAGTCCGGCTCCTGACGGATTTTCGGCCTCGGAATGCTGCCATCAGCTCATGTCGTCGACGATGACTACCACCGTGACTCAGACGCTTTAGCATGGGTCAGGTTAGGGACCCTAATGTTTTAGAAACGGGGGCTTGTGAATCAGGTCACTCAGACAACTACTCGGACGCTTCCATCCAGACAAGCTTTGCCATGCTTGTGCAATGCTTCCGGTGCAGAGCTGCTGTGCGAAACAGGCACTGGCCAGGTGTGCTCCTTGCTGGACACCGAAGAGACTTAGTAGTTGAGTGGATACACTTTACACTTTTTGGGATAGCATTACTCATTATACAACTAAAAGTGTACACTTTCCCTAAGACTCCACATACCCCAAAGTAGGTACCATTTATAGACTTTAGACCCCAAAGTAGGTACTATTTATATACTTGGAGTCTTAGGGTTTTTGGGGGGCTTATGAACCCTAAACCCTAAACCCTAAACCTCAGCAACTAAGGAAAGGACAGAAGCCTGTTTTGCTGAAGGGACTCTCTGCACTCCTGCCACGTTGTGTCGAACCCGGGCAAGCCTTTCTGCGGATTGCAGTCGCTTTCTCGAGGAGCCGGACTGCTCAAGACAGGCAGCCTGCGTTTCTTAGGAGTACTTAGAAATGATTTTTAGTTTTTGGTTATTATAATTCCTAAGAAACAGCTAAAATTCTAATTTGTGTAAGGATTCTAAGTTCAGTATAGGTTTGGGAAGATGCCGAAGTCAACTATGCCTACCAATGCCGGCCGGCCGAAAGCCAGGACGCCATCTCGGTAGGTCTGTGCGCTGGATACTTGTCAAAGTCCTCATGTAACGAGCAGATCATTTGCAAGTGGCAGCTGGTACCACTTGGTGAAGAGCGATGTAGCAATGGAGGACGGGGCTTCGGAGTACTGTGCTTTAATACTTTCTTGGGGTCTGTTACGTAAAGGGAACCTATTATGAAATAAAGTCTATGCTCGTTTTCCTTGGTTACTTCAAAGCCCAGAGGAAGCTGGCGTGGCTGTATCAGCAGTATACCATCCCTCGACCACCTCTGCAGTGAGTTCAAGACATCACCCGATTGTGCAACAGACCGTTGCTGGGTCCTTTGTGTGGAAGCTTTCGAAGATAAGATAACTACGGTTTTCTACTCTAGTTGTCTTTTAGTGTTTCACGGGGCTTAGGGCACATATATATATATATATATATATATACATATATATATATATATATGTACATGTACACACAGGGCTTACAGGGATTGTGGCTTAGGGCTAAGTTCTTGAACAGCAGTCCAACCTCAAACCCTAACCCTCAACCCTTAGCCCAAAGCCTTGGGCCCAAGGTTTTTGTCAGTGGAGTGCGACCTGCAACTGCGCCGACGACTTTTTTGGCGACCTCTGCGAGAAGCAGGTGGTAATTGTCCAAAATAGGAAGGTTCTATCGGGCTTGGGAATCCCAGTTTAGGGGTTTAGGGTTTAGGGGTTTAGAGTGTTTTGCCCTTGTTGATGCGTCTTTTCTGCTGTTGTTGAAAACATCCCGTCTCAAACAGCCATAAGGTAGGTTCACCTGCTTGGTCAGGTAGGATCTTGGTTTAAAGGAAGAGGCTTCCCTTTACAACTTTATGGGCCAACTTAGAGCTCCAAATAACACCCTTAAAGCCTCTACCTTGCTCTAAAGCATAGACCTCTTACAGAACCTTTTGAAAAGAAGATGACCTGTCGAAGTACCCGGTAGTTTCCGAAAATAGGGGACCCTAATATAGCACCCTAAATTGTAGGATCCCTATTGTTAGGACCCGCAAAAGGTACCCCTGATATTAGGAGACTCTACATCCTAAATCCTTTATAGAACCCTTATAGATCCCTTTAAGGAACCCTGAAAGGATCCCTTTAAAGGCACCCCTAACTTTCGAAAACTCCCACCTGAGGTCGCTCCTTTCAGTCGCCGTAGTGGCTGCACCGGGCCGGTCGGACCAGGTTGGGGGGGTTCACGGTTTAGGGTTTAGGGTTCAGGGTTAGGGTTTAGGGTTTAGGGTGCTATCAGGGTACTATAGGGGTACTAGGGGGTTTGAATGAACAGCCCCTACTTGGAGGATCATGGGACTTAGTAAGTAAGGCTCCTGAAGGGGATCCTTAAGGGCGGCATCTATAAGAGTTCTATAATAGGGTCATGGGACTTTGTAAGTATGGGTATAAGTACCTTAAGTGGGGCATAGTGGGGCTATCAGGTAGTTATAAGTATAGTTTCCTCAATGTTACTAAGTCCATGGTTCTCTAAGTAGCTGGACCCTACAGAACCTACTTTTTTTAGGGTTCCTTATTATGATTATGACTTCCTTGTATAGGTCCCTGAACAGGTGGGTTACGTAGGGTCCAGGTCAACCCTGAGCCCTGTCGGATCTTCAAGGAAACCACAAGTCTTTAAACCTTACGCGCGAAATTTCCCTAAAGCCGAAACCGCCTAAGCCACAAAAGGATGCCTCAAACTCCACATAGCTGCACCAAGTCTTAGGACTACGCGTGACGGAGGGGTTTGATATTAGGACGTTGGTGAGGGTGGTCTCGGACGCCGTTCGAACCCTCGATGGACATCACGAGAAAACTTGGGCCGGTAGAGGAAGAAAAGGGGTCGGAATAAATACCAGCAGCGTCCTGAGGGCTCCCAACTATAATTCAGGGTTTAGGGTTTAGGGTTACTATAATTAATGAAGGTCCAAGATACCCCAAAACCGCACTCTGATTTTCAAGGCCCCCGTATTACGTATGGAGGACCCCCGAACCACTTTTCGCGATGCTTCAGGGTTTAGGATTCGATACTGAGCTTCGGTATTGTATGTCATTGTATGTCCTAGTGCCCAAACCCAAAACCCCAAAGCCTCTTAAGACCCCTATAAAGCCCTAAAGCCCTACAGTAACCCCGCAATAATTGGATCTTGTTCCAAGGAACCCTTGAAAGTAACCTTCAAAGGAACCCCGAAAACCCTAAGTTACCTTCATTTTAACCTTAACCCCCCTAGAAACCCTCAACAGACTTGGGAAAGCCTTCGTCTTTGTTCGTTGGGCTGCCTTTCATCGGCGCTTCAAGGAATGAACTTTGGGAGTAGTAATTACATAGGCGTAGTAATTAGTAAGGGTCTTCACGGGGATAGTATTGAGGTTTAGCTTCTTCGGTGATACGTAATTTCTTGTTGTTTTTGTTGATTTTTCGGTTTCTGCTTCTTTACAAACACTGAACCCTAAACTCGATCTTCACTGAGTTATCACCGGGAGCTGAACTTACATAGGCAGCTCTTTCTCCTTGGGGTTTAGGTTTTCGGATGTAGGGCTTACATGGGGTTTACTAGTGGATCATGGGACTTAGTAAGCAGGGTTATGAATAAGGTAACTATACTTATAACTACGTATATCCCCCCACTCAGGGTACTTATAACCCTACTTACTAAGTCCCATGATCCTCAAGCGCAATATCCAGGTGAGATGTGCCAGGCAATCGTCTACGCGGCTTCTGCGAATCTTGGAGTTCTTTGTATACGCAGCTTACGTAATCCTGAAGATCATAAAGCCCACTCTTGTAGGGTCATGGGACTTAGTAAGTAAGGTTATGGGTACCTTAAGTGGGGTTATAAGTAGTTATAAGTACAGTTACCTTAATTATAACCCCAGTTACTAAGTCCCATGATCCTCCAAGCAGGGGTTTAGGGTTTAGGGTTGTATGGACAGCGTACATCCTGAAGATCTTAAAGCCCAAGGGTTTATAAGGGCTTGAAGTTTAGAGTTTAGGGCATAAGCCCAGACGTCACTTATGGTATCCCTAAGGGAGGGGGGTCCAAGGGGGGCGCATAGCCTAGTGATCCCTAATTCTCCCTAGTCCCCCCTAAGGTACTCTTAGAGACCCTAAGAAACCCTTGTACCCTCCCCCCTGAACCACCCTCCCTTAAGGATCCTACAACGTCACTGCATTGAAAAACCCGAACCTTGGTTTCAAAGCCTTCGGAAACCCCACTTGGAGGGTCGGGAGACTTAGTAGCTGGTTATTTTAGGGGCTTATAAGTACCATAACCCCAATTAGGATCCCTTTTAGGGTACTTATAAGTCTACTTACTACCTACTTACTAAGTCCTCCGACCCTCCAAGCAACAGTCTATGTTCCCCAGAGGGTCCATATACGCTACTATTATGGAATTATTGGGTATCGAAAGAACCTCCCTGTTATGGTTTTGGGGACCTACTTCCATAATGGTAGTGTATATGGACCCTCTATGTTCCCAAGCGAGATATACTTTGGCTTTCATTTCAAGTATACCCTGTACAGGTACATGTGGGCCAAAGTGTATACTATTTGGGTGGTTGTCAAAACTAGGGTTCCTTTTTGGGTCCCTAATATAGTACTGCACCTAATATTTAGGGTACCCAAACCCTAAACCCAAAACCCTTTTAACCACCCATTTGGACACATCGACCCTTTAGGGTAAGAAGGGTATCCTTCCGAGGGGTTTTCCAAGGGATCTGAACACCTAAACCCTAAACTCCTAAACCTTAGGTACTGCCCCCGATACAGTAAGAGTCTATACAGGGCTACTATTAAGGTCCTAAAAAATCTTTCTTATGAACATTATTCAACTATTACTGAGTGGGGGCTGTACCCAACCTAAACCCCAAATAGGGTTCCTTGAAAGGGTTCCTCTGGAGGCTTCTTTCCACGGTTCTTAATCCTTAAGCCCTAAACTTTTAAGCCCTAAATAGGGCAGGGTTCCTAGTAGGGCTTCTTGAGCCCTCATTCCTAAACGTGGTAAACTCTAAACGGTTTACAGGGTTCATTTTGAGGGTTCCTTGCAAGGATTCTCTACCTGTTGTAGAATATACCTCTAAACCCTATTCTAGTTGTGAAGGCCCATATCATTGATCATATTCCTATAGCAACCCTGGTAGGCTTCAAGGAGCCTTATAAAAGCCCCCGTAAACCCTAAATCCTAAACCTTAAACTTTAAACCCTAAACCCTGTGGATTCCGTCGACCTTGACTGCTAGATGGAAAAAGGTGCTCAAAAAAAAACCCTAAACCCTAAACCCTAAACCCTAAACCCTAAAATGCCCCTAAAGGGGCCCTTCAGGGTTTCTCTAAGAGCCGTCTCTGGGAGATTCCCAGGAGTGATCGGTTTCGCTGCGCGACGACTGGCCTCGACGTGGCATGCAGCGATTGGCTCCGCTTGAAGGAGACGGCCGAGGTGTCAGGGCTCCCTGTAATGTGTAATGTGGGGGTTTCCAAAAATAGGGGACCCTAATCTAGTACCTTCAATCGTAGGATCCATAAGGACCCCAAAATCAGGTACCCCTAATTTTCGGAAAGTCCCATGTAACTAAGCCTAAAGGGTTGGTTTCGAGCTTCCGCTAAAGGTTTTGGGTTTTTGTGGCTTTTGGTGATTTTGGGTTTGGGCACTTATAAGGGTCAACAAATTACTTAGTAGCTGATTGGATACACTTTACACTTTTTGGGATAATATGACCCACGATAAAACTGAAAGTGCACGCTTTTTGGAGTTTATGAACTCAGCAACTAAGATTAGGTTTTAAGGGTCTTGTATGGGGGGTTTCATGGGTCAACGAGGGTTTCCAATCGGGTTCTAGATGCGAGGTGTCGGCTTAGGTTAGGGTTGAAGGTCTCAAAGGGTACCCTGAATGGGAGCCCTAAACCCTAAACCCTTGTGTTTAGATGGATATGGGCTATGCTGGAGGTTAAGTGTCAGCTTGGCCTGCAAAGATCTCCAAAAAGACAAAGCATGGTTTCAGAATGGGGTTCAATCCTAAACCCCTAAACCGTAAACCCTAAACCCCTAAACCCTAAACCCTTTCCCTATGCCTTAGGCTTTCGATGATAGCATGTAGAGCTAAAGGATTTGAAGGTTATGTCTTTAGTCTTTAGTGGGTGGAGGGGGGTGCGGGGTCAATGTGTAGGCAAGGTTGATAAGCTTCGGGCTTTACCTTACTGCAACCTTAAATACTACCTTGCGAAGGACTTGATAAGGAACCTTACACATGTAGGGTTTTTATCCTCCAGGTAGCGGCTGCGGTTGTGAAGGGTCCAGACAGGGCGGCTGAACGAAGTCTGTATCCGAACACAAATTGCGCTCAACCGTAAAAATCTTCATCTTAAACCCAGCCCCAAATGGGAGTATCTCAAAATAGGGGACCCTATATAGTGCCCTAAATATAGGATCCTTCCAAAAATAAGGTACCTCTACTTCCGATTGCTCTTAAATCGTCTCGGGGCATCAGGTGATGTATGAAGCCGAGCTTGGTGGAACCGTCGTCGATTTTTTGGCTTTCTTCCTGGGACTGGCGATCAGCTTCAGCATCCACAAGATGTCCAACTTCTACGGTTCCCGTATGTAATTAGCAGTTTCGGGGTTAGGGTTTAGGGTTTAGTACCCGAAAGATATGCATTCTACGGTTCCCGTTGTAATATCTTGTCATAGTTGGGGAACAATTTTTGCATTGTAAGGGATACTTAACCTCAAGAAGGAATCGACATTTATATCTTTTGGACTAGAATCGGGGTTTAGAATGCTTTCCATAGGAGTTCGATAGGGTTCACACGGTGTCCTTTGGAGATACTCGGCTCGTATAGCAGGATTTATGCACTGCTTGTTCGGTTTTATAGGACTTAGAGTTAGAGACTGTTATCGGGGGTTCTGAAAGGATTTGTATGGGTTTCATTTGTGCCCCCCCCTTTGAGTTGTTTTGTGGGTTTTCTGCAAGGGTTCTTTAAGGGTTCTTCAAGGTGAAATGTCCAACCTCTGCAGTTCCCTTGATGCGGGTTCAGGCTTTGAGGCACTGTCACGCTCCTTGCCATAGACATTGCCTGTACCCCCCGTTCGCCACACGAAAGATTCTGGAAGCTTTGTGACGTTTCTAGGAATAATGTTGATAATTCTCATGCTTCTGCATGAATCCTAAACCCAAAACGCTAAGCACGAAGCCCCTAGACCCTACACATTACTCAAGTAGCGTCCTTAATCCTTGCGGTCTACGGAGCATACTCCCAGTTTAAATCCTACGCCCAAAAAACACTGAGAAGCCAGAGCTATGAAAACCCTGAACCCAAACCCTAAACCCTGTTCTGCAGTTCGAAAAGGGCCCATAAACAAAAAAAACCATAAACCCTGAAGCTTAAACCCCTAAGACCCCCCAAACCCGAAATCCCGCCAAAACTCTAAGCCCGACACCTTCAGACCCCTAAACCCTACACCTAGCCCCTCAGGCCCTAACCCCAAGGGTCCAAGTATCTGATAATCATATACTCTCAAAAATCCTAAACTTACATGACTACTATCCTAAATCCGAGTACCTAAATAGTGTGTCCTTTAAGGACCCTTGGGGGTACACCCTAAACCCTCTCCAGGTTATCGTCGCTTCGCGCTCTTCGCTCTTGTCGTCAGCTTTCTGGCCGACCTCACTCTTGAAGCGATTCTCTCAACCTCCGTGTCCCTTGGAGCACCCAACCCTACTTAGAGGATCATGGGACTTAGTAAGTAGGTTATAGTTGGGGTTATAGGTCCCCTAAGTGGGGTTATCCTAATTATAACCTACTTATAACCTTACATAAGTCCCATGAGCCTTTAAGTAAACCCTAAACCCTAAACCAACCTACCAACCGTAAAAACAAAAGCACCCTAAACCCTACCTCATAAGGTCGGCAGCAGCCAACGTGCTGGACCGGTTCAAGGACTCCAGGGCCCTTTCCCAGTTTTTGGTTTTGGGCTGACACCTTGGGGTTTAGGGTAAAGGGTCCCCGAGGTAGGGTTCATCCCAGTCTTGGGGTTTAGGGTTTATAAGCTCTCGGATTTAGGGCTGAGAACTTAGGGCTTAGGGTTCAGGGTCCCCAGAATAGTGCTCACACCCGAAGCCCCAAATGTTTGGGGTTCATGGCTTCATAGGCGTTTCGGGCTTGGTTCCCAAATTGTAAACTAATATTTCGTAGCTTGTGGCCGGACTCTAAAACGCCTCGATCTTTTGGATCTTTGTATAGGGTGCAGGGTTTCGGGTTCTAGCTTTACTTACTGTTTAAATTACTGCCGGCGCGACCACAAGAGGGCTTTGGAGTACATCCTACCGCCTTCATGTCGGGACGCATAGAGGGATATCAGCATCATGTTGCTTTTTCAGACCCCTGGATCCCTCAGCGCTTAGCCCTCAATCATTCTAACTTCCTAAACTCTGACGGTAACCGTTAGCGTTATTCCAAAAGTATCCCTATGGGAACCCCTATGGTCCCCAATCGCCCGAGCCCTGCACCGTAACCCCCGAAGTGTTGTGCCCAGACCTTCCAAAATCCCTTAATTAAGGAATATACCTTAAATCATATTAAGGCTCCTGCTATAATTTAAGGTATATTCCTTAATTAAGGGATTTTGGAAGGTCTGGGTGTATACTTATTTATTTAATGACAAGCACTTGAAGGAATGTGCTTCACAAGAGACGAACGGCGACAGCTCGTCTCCTGGATCTGTTAGAGTTCGAGCCACCGCATTCGTTTACGGGAAGTTAGTAGAAAGTATAGAAAGAGAGTTACAGCACCCTAAACCCTATAAATCCTCAGGGTTCATAAAATGGTTTAGGGTTTTGGGGTCGGGGGTGTAGGGTTTAGGGTTTACAGGGTGTATGGGTAGTAGTGAGTGCTTCAAGACTCCAGGAGTTATCTGGCGTTTTCTGTCTCTTTGGGGTTTAGGGGTTTAGGGTTTAGGGCGTTTAGGGTTCTCCGCAAGCAATGAGCAGGTGTAGATAGTTGCCTCACAAGGGAGAACATGCAAGCATTGTCAAACAAACGCGTGCCTTCACCACGGTGCTTGCGGTCCCGAAGAGCCACTGGGAAATTGGACAAATGCAGGATACTATGGAGGGCCTACGTAATTACCAATACTATTGTGTGGGTTCCGTTTTGTGATTCTAGTACAATATACCACCAAAACCCTAAACTAATTATAAAGACCCCTATGTTACTCTCACGAAGCAGTCAATGCTTTGCACCCGCATTCCGACCATGATTGCTCCTCAAACCCGATACCTGTTGAACCCCCACTCCTCCACATAAGTCTGCCGAAGAGCCCTAATGAGAATGAGCTCCAAGCCCTAAGCACTCTAAAACCCTCCTGCGGCTTCAATTACTTCGTATTTTGAGGGCCTATATTGTAGGGTCTGGGGCCCCCAAGGCATGCCGTGTATGCGAAGCCCCAGGTTCACGAAGATGAAGGCCACGGCCGACTGGATTCGCATACTCGCCTTCGCAAACATCATCATCGCTTCCATCGGTCTCTGCGGTGACATTGCGGGAGCGGCGCTGGACTGGAGTAGAGATCCTGCCATCAAGGTGGGGCCAATAGGGCTATACTCGGGTTCAGGGTTTTCGGGGTATGGGGGCTTATCGGTGTAGCATAGAATCACCAAGATTATTCCTTTGGGTCCTTTTTTTTACTTATTTCAAAAAGGCCACTACATCAAGGGTTTCGGAGATTATAGGGTTTGGGGCTCCTGAACTAAGGCTAGGGTTTAGGATTTAGGGGACTCTAAGCCTTGAGACCCTCAGAACATCACGGCAGCTCCTGAATGGCGCATCCCAAACCCTAAATGCCACGCTCCAAATCCCTACAAAACCTCACAGCAGCCGGATAGAAATCCTGAAGCCCTAAACCCAATCACTTTTATTTACCCTAAGAGCATTTACCCGTAAGCTTTCCTGCAATGTATAGAGCCCCTAAGACGCAGAACATAATTTCTGTCCTGAAGAAGTACCTAAATTCATCCTTTCCTGATTACAAGTATACAATACTGTACCCCCCAAAACATAGTCAAAGTATTAAGGTCCCTAGGTTGCTTAATACCTCTGTCCCCAAATAGTGCCTTGTCAGCTATACTGTACTATGATGTACACCAAGACCCCATTTTAGTTCTCTTCGGTATTATATATGTGCTTGCCCGGATGCCGCTAGCCCTAAGGGTCCAAGTGCCCAAATAGTAGGGTTTCAGGGTCCAAAAACCGCTCAGAGTATGGATTTGGGGACCTAAGACTCACTGTTTGGATACTTGGACCCTCTGGGCAGTGAAGGCTGGACTACTACTGGTAACTCACCTTGCCGGTGGCCTTGAAGCGGTCATTGGGCTCTTCAGCTGGCGTCTCAACACCGAGCCCTTCATTGAAGAGATGCTTTGATGCAGAGAAGAAGGGGTTTAGGGGTTTAGGGTTTAGGCTTCCCTTAGAGCTCTTGTTCCAGAGGCCATATATAGATATACACATACATATATATATATATATATATATATATATGTGACTAACTATTAGGAAATTAGGCCCCTAAGCTAACCAGGATAAGGGTGGTCTTTTGAGGCCTTATTCCATAATGTGTGGAGCCTCATTGTAGGTACTTTTACCCCAAGGTTTTTTTTTTTTTTACTTTTGCCGGCGCTGCAACGATATCGCCCTTGTCGGCCCACCACAATTTTGCCATCATTCACCCCAAAGCCCTGCTGTGTTTGTTGACGGTCCGCACCCTTGAAGAACGCTATTACAGAACGTATATGGTTTTGTTGTATTCGTATATACACAGGTGTGCATGTATGATATGTACCTATGCATGTGCGTGCGTGGTTGTACATACATGTATGCATATATATATATATATACACGTATATATATATATATACACACATACGTACATGACTGTATTTGTGTACAGTCACAGAGAGCGAAAGACAGAGAGAGAGAGAGAGAGAGAACATAACAATAGAGAGAGAAACAAAAACGAACGATAAAGCGAGAGCGAAAGAGCGAGAGAGAGAGAGAGAGAGAGATAGAGAGAGAGAGAGAGAGAGATAGAGAGAGAGAGAGAGAGAGAGAGAGAGCAAAGCAAGGATACCTAGAGGACTCTGCCTATGAGCCCCTTAAGCGAACCATACTCAAGCCTATGCCCAAAAGAACCCCTAGCGATCCCTTTTTATGGCTCAAAGGCTGAAGCATCCTTCCCCAAAGCCCAGGCCCAAGCCGTGAGCCATACCTAGACCTCGACACCGCAACTACCCACTGATATGGGGGATCCTGCTTAAAGGCTCATGGGACTTAGTAAGTAAGGTTATAAGTAGGTTATAATTAGGATAGCCCCACTTAAGGGACTTGTAACCCCAATTATAACCTACTTACTAAGTCCCATGATCCTCTAAGTGGTAAACCCCAAACCCTAAACCCCCAAAACCGGCCATGCCTCGAAAAGTCCGAAGCACTACAAGAACCGTCAATCCGAAACCACATTCCCTTATCCCTAAAGCCTTACCTAAACCCTAAACTCAATCTTTAAGGGGTCCTTTAAAGGAACCCTTAGGGGCTGGGTGGTTTTGGGATTATCCCTAAATCCTTAAGCCCTAAACCCAAAGCCCCTAAACCCTAAACCCCACAAACCCCTAAAGCCCTAAACCGCCTAAACCCCAAGCCCCAAACCCTTAAACCCTCAACTCCTAAACCCCCTCAACACCTTAACCCCTAAAGCCCTCAACCGCCTAAAGCCCTAAACCCCTAAAGTCCTCAAGGCTCCAAGCTGTGGAGATGGCCGCTCTGGGCCTTGAAGAGTTGGAGCGCGGACGGGGTCAGATGTGCTTCACCAGGCCCGAAGACCCTAGAGGACTAGTTCCTTGGGTTTAGGGTGTAGGGTTTAGGGGTTTAGGGTTTCGGGTTTTGGGGGTAAACTAAGCGTAGGGGTACTTAAAAATAGTTTTGAATTTTTGGTTATTAGAATCCCGAAGAAACAGCTACAATTATAATCTTTGCTAGTGTTCTAAGTTCAGTATAGCCTAGAGGACTGACTGTTTTTAGGATTCCTTACTATGATTTCCTTACATAAGTACTTAGAAAGAGAGACCTCACCTTAGGGGTTAGGGCTTATGGTCTAGGGTTTCTTATGTAGGTCCTTAAAAAGGTAGAGTATTACCCTAGAGATATTGCCCTTTTTTAGGGTTCCTGAATATCATTTCCTTATGTAGGTATTCAGGGTTAAAGTAACAGGCCCCTAAACCCAAGAGAACTTACCTGTTTTAGATTTCCTGAATACCGTTTCCTTATGTAGGTCCTTAAAGAGGTAGGGTATATCCCTAGAGAACTTACCTTAGGACCATAACCCTACAGAACTTACCCTTTTAGGGTTCCTTACTATGATTTCCTTATATGAGTCCTTAAAGAGGTAGGGTATTCCCTAGGAACTTACCCGTTTTAGGGCTTCTTAATTTTTGTTTCCTTGTATAAGTCCTTAAACATGTTTATAGGGTATTCCCTAGAGAACTTACCCGTTTTAGGGTTCCCTAATATGACTTCCTTCTATAAGTCCTTAAAGAGGTAGGGTATTCCCTAGAGAACTTACCCAGGGTTCCCTAATATGACTTCCTTCTATAAGTCCTTAAAGAGGTAGGGTATTCCCTAGAGAACTTACCCGTTTTAGGGTTCCTTACTATGATGTCCTTGTGTAAGTCCATTAAATAGGTAGGGTATTCAGGGTTGAGGTAACAAGGCCCTAGGCGATTTAGGGTTTAGGGTTTAGGCCAGGCCTTAATGTACGAACCTGATTAAGATACCCTGGGCATATACCCCGAAAATAGTAGGATTCTAAGAAGGAGCCCTAATGGGCTCCGTTTCAGGGATCAATGGGCTAGTTTTCCCACGGTTGTAGGTCAAATGAGAAATTATCGGGTCCTGTAAAGGTTTCTTTTAACGGATCCCTTCAAGGTTCTCTTACGGGATTCTAGGTATGAGGGTTGAGTGTTTACGTCTGGACAGCACTACTTAAAGGATCACGGGACTTAGGAGCTAGGGTTATAAATAAGCTTATGACTACCTATATCCCCACTTAGGCTACTTACAACCTGACTTACTAAGTCCCATGATCCTCCAAGTAGACCCTAAACCTTAAACCCTATAGATCCCTTTAAGGAACCCTATAGATCCCTATAAGGACCCCTTAAGGAACCTGACTTACTAAGTCCCATGATCCTCCAAGTACAGCACTAAACACCCCAAGGCCTGATCCCCTGAATCCTAAAACCCCAAGGCCTGATCCCCTAGATCCTGAACCCCTCAGCAACGCTAAGCCCTAAATCCTAAACCCTAAATCCTAAATCCTAAACCCCAAACCCTAAACCCTAAACCCTAAATCATCCTAAACCCTAAATCCTAAACCCTAAACCCTAAACCCTAAATCCTAATCCCTGAGCCCTAAACCCTATTGCTCGAGGCATCCCGACCTATCCGGGCCTGAAGTGGTCAGCATGGGCTGGAGTAACCTTGGTGTGATGCATTTGGGTGGTTGTGAAAATTAGGGTCCCTTTTTGGGTACCCTGAATAATAGGTGCTGTGCTATCATACGGACCCAAAAAGGGACCCTGGATTTGACAACCATAATTAAACTGCCTTGTCAGGGCTGTAGTGTAGGGGTTGGAATGTCCCTTTTGCGGCCCCTATCTGAGTATGAAGGCACCTACACTATAAAGACGTGTTACTTTCATTCAGCGTCCCTGCTATAGTAGATTGCTCATTTAAGCGAGTCTGTCAGGTGTCTTGATCAGCGTACTTCAATCCCTTTGCAGGTTTTGTTTCCTTGTATGAAGTCAGATAGAACGAACATCTACAATATACATGACTGTAAGCTACATGGTCTTTCCTGCATCCCTCAGGTAATCCCATCATCTACATCCTGTTGCCCGGCGCCCTGACGCTGGTCTCTTTGTCCTTGGCACTCGTGGTTGCTTTTTGCGTGCCAAGATCGGCAAACGAGGTGATGGAGATGGAGTTGCCCACAGGCCGTCCCTAAACCCTAATTATTGCCCTAGTTGACCGCCCCCATTTGTGAACTCAGCTGATCAGTGTTGCAAATTAAACCATAACGGCATGTGACACCCCAAACGACTAGCCCCTAAACCCTGAGCACAGGCCGCCGCCGAGTCAGACCGGCTCCGGTAATGGAATTTGAGAAGCCCACCCCGCCTGGCAAACCTCGACAGCCAGAGGCCGTCGCGCCAAAGGGGCAGGCGCCTCCACCCCTAAACCCTACCAAGACTGCCCCTGACAAACCACGACAGCCAGAGGCCGTCGCGCCAAAGGGGCAATCGCCACCACCCCTGAACCCTGCCCTGAACCCTGCCAAGACTGCGCCTGACAAGCCCCGACAGCCAGAGGCCGTCGCGCCAAAGGAGCAAGCGCCTCCACCCCTGAACCCTACCAAGTCTGCGCCTGACAAACCCCGACAGCCAGAGCCCGTCGCGCCAAAGGAGCAAGCGCCTCCACCCCTGGACCGTACCCAGACTGTCCCTGACAAGCCCCGACAGCCAGAGGCCGTTGCGCCAGAGGAGCAGGCGCCTCCACCGCTGGACACCACCAAGACTGCGCCTGACAAGCCCCGACAGCCAGAGGCCGTCGCGCCAAATGGGCAAGCGCCTCCACCCCTGAACCATACCCAGACTGTCCCTGACAAGCCCCGACAGCCAGAGGCCGTCGCGCCGAAGGGGCAAGCGCCTCCACCCCTTATCCCTGCCAAGACTGTTGATGAGATTATGTAATTGGAGCCACAGAGAGGCCGACAAATTCCCATGTCTTTGTGCGGCTTTGGGAGGGTCCAAAACCTTTCCTGCCTTCGCCTTGTGGTGGCCTGCAAGACTATGTTACATGTTACTATGCTAGTTATAAACAGCCACAGTATACGATCTATATATATATATATATATACTAATTACTAATATATACCTATACTTGTATACATATATACACACCTAGTGCAGGGGGGCATAGTGAGCAGTTGGTGATTCAAAAGCCCCTGTTCCCTTGAGTGATGAGAAGCTCCAAATGCCGAGCCAGGCCACCACCTTAAGGGTCTAAGTACCTAATCCTATTGAGGGTTTAGGGTTTATAGTAGCAGAGTAGGTAATCTTTAACCTTTGTTGGGTAGTATAGTCCCTATATATCATCCCTATATAAGCAAAAAGGTTAATTTTTGGTTCCCCGTGATACCCGACAAGTAGGTAATTATCATACACTCTCCCAAATAGTAACCCACATAACTCCTATCCTGAAACAGAGTACAATAATTGGGTCCTCTGGACCCTTAGGGTGTTTTCAACTCTCTTCCTCCGGCAAGCAAGACCGAGAGAAAGACCGACAAAATCGTAGCAGAGTTTAATTCGAAGGGACTGTTGAAAGCAGCTCCAGAAAGAGCCACCGTATCCTCGGTTTCGGGAGAGTTTAGGGATGTAGTGGTTCAGGGCTTAGGGTTTATAGGGTTGAGGGTTTTAGGGTTTGTTTTAGGGTTTGGGGTCATCAGGCCAATCTGTCGGATGAGTTACCCCACCCTATGCCCTGCAGCTCTACAACCTTATCCCTGGCAGCCCTAAAGCCATGTTGGAGTTTCCGAAAATCGGGGAGCCTAATATAGCACCCTGAATAGTAGGATCCTTAGGGACCCCAAAATAAGTAAGATACCCCCCCCCCAACTTTCATTTCGGAAACTCCCATGTTGTGTCATCGCTGCACCATGGACAGGCCTGTAGATCTCTTGTAAAGCTGTTAAAGAAACTTCCCAGAGGGTCCATATACACTACTATTATGGAATTAAGTCCCCAAAACCATAATGGGGATGGTCTTTCAGGGCCTAATTCCGTTGACCCTAACACCTGGACATCCCTTGCATGAACCCGAGTCTAACCCAAAACCCTAAAGCCTAAATTAAGCCCTTAAGGGTTCCACTACTAGCCCTTAAAGCGCTTAGGGCTCAGGGTTTAGGGTTTATTGAGTTTAGGCTTTAGGGGCTTAAGGTTTAGGGCGTGGGTTCCTTCAGAAGCTTTTCACGAACCTTATAGGTTCCTTTAATGGAGCCCTCTAAGGGAACCCTTCAAGAAGCCTCAAAAGAAGCCCTGATAGGAACCCTTGAGCATGGATGGGTGGCTGAAATCCAGGCCTAAAGTAGGTCTGCTGCTTCTAGGTTCCTGAGTAGTACCCTTTTACCCTTCTTGGTTTAGGGTCCCATTATTAAAATTGACTATTGGGAAAGAGGTTACGCTGATTATGAAGGTGTTACACAGGAATCTAGGCTTTTTTCCAGCAGAAGCTGCTGACTGAAGGTGCAGGCGCGCCCATCGAAGCAAAAAGGGCGACAGGGGTTTTGGCTTTCGGGTTTTGGGCTTAGGGTTTAGGGGCAAAGGGGGCATATTAAGAAGTAGATATATCTAGAATAAGGTTTACAAGGTTCTTCAAAGCGGTCAACCACTCGAATATTTTGGAATAAGTTGGCATGTTGGGATATATACGGTTATATTTTTCCATCATTCAATAAGCTGTAGTACTGGTGAACCCTCAAGAGCTAAGTTTGGTACTTAGTCATGCAGGCTTCTGTATTGTACATGCTGAGCCGGACTTTCTGGTCTAGGGTTACATCCTGATCCCCCAAACCCTACACCCTAACTCCTAGTAAACTCGAAACCAAAGGCCCCAAACCCTACACCCTACTCGAAAAACCTAGTAGATCAGTTTGGAAAAACGCCCTCAAACAAAGCCCTACACCCTCAACCCTCAAACCCTCACTCGTCTCTGTCAGCTGGCAGTTCCCAGACTCTTCGGAGCTGAAAGCATGGAAAAAAGTCACTTGTCTGTATCAAACTGAAAAAATACATCCTTGAGCGCCAGCACGTGGAAAAAGTCTTACATGTCGGTATCAACCTTAAGGGCCAGACCCCCGAAGCCCCTAAACCTCCGACCCTGAAATTGCTAGTTTATCTCGTCTTCTACCTACCTATCTACCTATCTAGCACAATTAGAGGAGGGTTTCGGGGCCCATTATACTCTAATCATAATAAGGAACCACCCAAACAGTATTGGTAGTTATTTAGGCCCCTCTTCTAAGCCCTTATAATATAGCCCTTATAGTAACCATTATAGACCCTTCATAAGACCCCTTTAAGGGAACCCTCTTCTAATTATTTTGGCCTCTATATTATATCAGATAGATAGCCTCACGCCCCCAGCCCTAAAGCAGAATGAAGGTGTTTAATTTAGGGTATAGGGGTTTAGGATTTAGGGTTTTTGTTTAGGGGTTTAGGGGTTTAGGGTTTAGGGTTTAGGGGTTTAGGGGTTTAGGGTTAGGACAGTTAGGATCTTGGAGCCCAGAGCCCGGAAAGGATGCAACAAACGCCTTGCAGCTTTAAGCCCGAAGGGCTGACATCACGGTTCATGGATGGTTCTCTAAACTACGGTTGATGATATAAGTTCTGCGTTGCCTTAAGGATCCTAAGCCATGGGAATAATGGTACATTCCTTACTATGGCTAATGCAGGATTTATATCATCAACAGTAGGGTCCCTCTTTAAAGTCCTTCTTGTGCCGGCGCCGCTTTCTTTTGCACCTGTAAAGCACCCTAATTGCTCTCGTTAAGAGAATTAGATACAGCTAGCCCTGAAGGGAAGGTTCCTCTGCTACCAGGACCCCGGAACAGTAACTAGGATCCTTGTTGTGCGGACCACCCAAAATAACGCGACCCCTATGATCAGACACTTAGAAGTATCATACTCCGAAATTAGGATCGCGTTTAGGGTGCTTATAAGTCTACTTCTTACCTATAAACCCTAAACCCTAAACCCTAAACCTTAAACCTAAACCCTAAACCCTAGACCCTAAACCCTAAACCCTAAACCTAAACCCTAAACCCTAAACCCTAAACCCAAGCCTTATGATAGGGACCCTCAGGTCGGTATTCTACTTGAATTAAGAGCCCACACCCCACCCCGATTCATTGCGAAGACGGAGATGAAGGGGCTCGAGGGTTTAGGGTTTACCCACAGACTCCATAGTAGTTCTGGGGTTTAGGGGTTCAGGAATTTAGATGCTTTTAGTCCTACTACGGGTCCAAGGCGCCAATTTATTGTATTCGGCTGATACCCAAACCTTTAAAGTTGCGGAGTTCTGGCACAGGCTGCATCCCGGATGCCGCTGCGGTTCCCGAACGCCAGGTAGCACGAGAGGAAAGTGCATGCTGGGTTCGTCGCGTGCTGCGTTCACTCTATCTGTGGCCCCAAACCCACCAAAGTAGCAGTAGGTCATTACACCTCAGGTAGTCACCTTGGTCTAATCAAGCTTTACAGCAATAGGTTACAGCCCGTCAACCTAGTACGTGCTTCATTCAGCAACCTAGCATGTCGAAGTTAGAGCTGCCCGATGCCTTCATCGAGGTTTCCGGACTTGATTAAGGTTCGCTATTTTAGAGTTCAGCTTCTATGGCCGAAACTGCATGGTTGCTCTAGAACAAGTTGAGAACCTAAAAGAACCTGATCACCTTCTTTGTAAAGGCCGACAAGTCCAGCCTAGCCTGATGGAGCACGGATCACGCTGCCTCGCACCAAACCAGTGACTCATAAACAGGTTTCCGGGCCAGGCCCCGCCTCATGACCTAAACTGTGACGTAATACTCGTCTGGTGGAGGACGTACGCTGTAACCTCTTCACGGTAACATGCTCCATGTGGCATCCCTGATTCCATAGCAATTGCTTTTGCGGCTTATGCTTGGGTGCCGAAACCTTACAAGCCTCAACTCTATGAAACGAAAACCCCAAGCAAGACCCGGAAATACTTTCGTGCTGCCCGTGATCAAAACCTAACAAGTTAGGGCCAAAGACTTCCAACTCCAACGCAGCCCTGAGAGAGTCCTCTGCGAACAACTGCGTTCACCGATATAACGTACTACTCGAATGTACTGTAAAGGTCATGTAAAGGAGCCCAAAACCCTATTCCAATTGTGAGCGCCCCTATATCAGACCTCTGAAGAATAATAAGCGTCGTTGCCGTCGTTATCACGGGAGGGGGTCTTGGGTACTGAACCTTACACCCTACCTTAACTCGGAATAACCTACTTTGTTGAGGACTTATATAAAGAAATCATAAGAAGGAGCCCGAAAGGGGCAGGTTCTTCAGGGTTAAGGTAAACCCTAAACATTAAACGCTAAACCCTAAACCGGTCCCCATCTCAAGACCTCTTAGACCTGAAGGCCACATCCTAAGCCCCGAATCCTTACATGTAGAATTTTTCAATCCGAGGGCTTAGGGCTCAGGGTTTCGGGTTTTGAGTGTTGGGGTTGCCAGGGTTTAGGGTATACGGTTTAGGGCCTGAAATTCCCCAAACCCTCAACCCCTAACCCTTTCAAAGGAACCCTACACCGGGTTGCGGGAAGGCCCCAAGAAAGCTTTGCATTTCTTGGCCCGCTCCTATTTGCGCGGATGCAGCTTCGGTTTGAGCCAACTTATATTGAGCGATTAGGGGCGATTTGGGGTTTAAGGTTTTGTTTGTAACTCCAGGGTTTAGGGGTTCAGAGTTTGAGTGATCCAGGCCTAGGCTTAAGGGTCAGGGATTGTACTCGTAGATTTCCTGTTTTCTCAGGAATATAGCTCCCTTGTAGTCCCCATAACGTACTTACAGTGGTAGTGCACCCCCGAAGTCTGCCGTAACTAAGGATGTCCTAATGATAGCAGGTCTTACTGCTGAAAGGCTGCCAGACCTTCCAAAGTCCTATTAAGGATCCTACTATAATTTAAGGGATATTCCTTAATTGAGGGATTTTGGAAGGTCTGAGTGAAGCCCGAAACTTCGAAAAAGTCCAAAACCCCACACAGACCCTGGAGGATCCTCCGCTGGACCCTTCACCCCGACCAGCCCTGAGACGCAGGGAAGACCATTGAAGCCCTAATATAGAGGATCATGCGACTTAGTTAGTAGGTTATAATTGGGGTTATAAGTCCCCTAAGTGGGGTTATCCTAATTAATTATAACCTACTTATAACCTTACTTACTAAGTCCCATGAGCCTTTAAGTAATATAGAAGACTCAATAATTACTCTAAACCCCAAACCCCAAACCCTAGACTCTAAACCCTGAACCCTACACCACAAAAAGTGGCCATGGCCGGTTCGTTGGCGGTCCTGGAGCCGCCTGCTGTCATAGGCCATCAAGTGCGAGGGTTTGGCAAAGGGGAAAAGGAGGGACCCTCAATAAGGACCCCTAGGTATAAACCCTTAATATGGCCATTATTTACCCATTATATAGCCCATTATAGGGTAGGGGTCCCCATTAAGGGTCCCTCCTTTTCCTTTTTGAACATCGCAACCTACTTAAAGGATAATGGGACTTAGTAACTAGGGTTGTGAACGTTTATTTGGTATTTACTATCTCAACATACAAAATTAAAAAGCTGGAAAGAAGGTAAATTAAAGCTACAGGACAAAGGTAGAAGAAAGGTAACCATATCGAGAGAAGGTGAAACAAAGCTACAGGGAAAAGTTAAAGCAAAGGTAATTATATGCAGCAGCAGCAGCAGCAGCAGCAACAACAACAACAACACCAACAACAACAACAAGTTCGCAAAAGTACGTCAGTACCACAACGACAACCACAATGACTCAGGACAACTACTTTTAAGTTACGACTAGTTACTAGTTACTCGTAGCTTGTCAGGACTACTGACTGCTGTTGCTGCTGCCTTGAAAAAACAGCTATGTCTCTGCTCTGTTCCAGCCTGGGCGTTTCGCATCCACAGGCGGGCTGCCTCCCACTCCAGCCCTACCCCCCTCCAAACCACCTCCCTTCCCTTCGCACCCTCCCCCCCCCTCTCCCCTCCCGGACAGGCTGGCTGGGGTTGACATTGCTGAAAAGCCGTCGCAAAAGCTGTCCCAACCCACTTCACCCGCGCCCCCGCCCTCCCCGCGCCCGCGCCCCCCCGACGCCCAGACTCCCCCGCGCCCACGCCCCGCGTCGCCCCCGCGCCCCGCGCTACCGCCTGCCACTGGCTTTGTGTCACCTTTTCCGAGCACCTTTTCTCCAGCTTTTTCCGACCCCCGACCCTCCCTCTGGAAAGTTAGCTTTTCCCAGGGAAAAGCTAAAAAAAAGGTGAAAAAAAGTTAAAAAAAAGGTGAAAAAAAGGTACAAAAAAGCTGGGCGCAGATTCAGAAGGTAAAGAAAAGGTGGACGGAAAAGCTGGAGCAAAGCTGCCCTGCAAAACCAAAGCTGAAAAAAAGTGCCCGGAGTAGCTGGAGGCCAAAAAAGCTGCCAGCAAAAGCTGCAGGTCAGGCCCTGTGCACGAGAAAAGCCTTCCCTCCTCTCCTCCCCTCCCCTCCCCCTCCTTCTCTCCTTCTCTGCGGAGGGGATGGGAGGGGAGGGGAGGGGAGGGGAGATTCTAGCTTCAGAGTAGGGAGAGAAGGGGAGGGGACTGAAGGATTTTTCAGACAACTATAGTTATAATTAGTCGCATCCCGACATATATGTCTTCCAGAAATATGAACTGTCAGCAGACGCGCGTGTGACCGCATGTGACTGGTTGTGACTTTCGGCTGTGTCAATGTAGTGAGTTTGCTTCAACATTCAAACTCTACCTGCTGCTCCTCAGCTCGTCACCTTTTCCAGATACTTTTTCTTGACCTCTCTCTTGGTGTGTTACCTTCTTGTCAGCTTTCTCAGTTACCTTTGTTTTACCTCTCGTTTGCTGTGTCACCTTGCTTTCAGCTTTCTCAAATACCTTTGTCTTAGCTTTCCATTGCTGTGTTACCTTTTTCTCAGCTGTCTCACATACCTTTCTTTTACCTTTGTTTCACCTTTTTAATTATTTAAGTGTTTATAATAAATACCACCAATACACGTTCACAAAACTAGGGTTATAATTAAGGTAACTATACTTAAAACTGCTTATAACCCCACTTAGGGTACTTATAACATCGCAAAAGGGATCTATAGGGTGCCTTAAAGGGATCTATAGGGTTCCTTAAAGGGATCTACAGGGTTTAGGGTTTAGGGTCTACTTGGAGGATCATGGGAGTCTTAGTCAAAGGGGAAAAGGAGGGACCCTTAATTTAGGGCTCTTAGGGTTCCTTTAAAGGGATCTATGAGGGTTTAGGATGTAGGGTTTAGGGGAAAAGGAGGGACCCTTAATGGGGACCCCTAGCCTATAATGGGCATATAATAGCTATATTAAGGATACATACCTAGGGGTCCTTCTTAAGGGTCCCTCCTTTGACCCTTGGAAACATCGCAACCTAGGGGCTGGAATAACTCCCTGGTGCTTAGTAGGGAATGGGGGAATGGATCCCTATAGTAGTCCCGATTCATCCCCAATAGTAGTCTCCATAGCCCGGATTCAATTCCCCCATTCCCTACTAAGAACCAGACAGATGATGAGTGAGAGTGTACTACCCTTATAGGCCTTACCCTACCTAATATAGCCTGTAAAAATCCGTCAATGTACCCGCCAGCCCTATCATTCAGGCCTTGGTATGAATCCTCAAGTTTCCGCCCAAAGCTCTCGGCCTTCATTACTGGTTAAGTAGATAGCTTTAAAGTGTTGGCTTGTTTGAGGTTGCCTTATCCCGAGAACTCCCACAGTGAACTTGTCTACCCCATCGGAAATAAGTATATTAGTATTTCGTGGAGGCGACTAGCTATAGATTTGGTCCCAGTCTTGACGTAAGTCAAGACTTGATTTAAATCCCCAAGGTTGCTAACCGCACACACTCGGCCCTGAATCATGACCCTAGTAGTCTGAAGACCAAAGTAACTACCATGTATATTCACCAGGCCCAATGTAGATACCATTTGCCTGCAGTGAGTCATTTCGGGTCGGAAATGAAGAAGTCCAAATTGTCTTAAAGGACGGTATTGATTCATGTCTGGTGGGAACACATACTTCAGGTGTCTGTATAAGCCCTGTCAGGCTACTTGGGCCAGAAGTATGTCATCATCGCACCACATGAATAAGCACTGTGGAAAGAGATCACGACGAGGCCATAAAGATCAAAAGTATGTCATCAGACGCCACCTGAAACGCGAATGACATCCTGCTTAGATCAGAAGGATCAGAGGTATGTCGTCATCACGCCACATGAGTCTGCTTTGCGAAAACTCACTATAGCGTGCATGACATCATGACCAGGTCAGAAAAGGTCGGAAATATGTCATCATCACACCACGTAAGTCTGTAAGTATGTGAATCAGGGGCCAAAAAGTGAAGTGAGCATGGTGCCATAGGTGTTCATGAATACTAATATAGAAGATCATTTGAAAGAACCCTACAAGGATCAGCCACATATGGGTAGTTGTCAAAATTATGGTCCCCTTTAAGGTACCCTAAGTATTCGGTGCCGTATTATAATAAGGACCCAAAAAGGTACCCCAATATTGACAACCACCCATATATACAACATATACATATGCTAGTTGTTGCTCTTAAGGCTTTGTCAGGGATGGCGATCTGGTGTTTGATGGGTTTGGGGCATATTGATCCTGCGAAGGACCAGAGTGGAAGGTATGCTCTAGAGTACAGGCTCCCAGACTCAGAGGGTGCCCGATGCTTGACAAACACTAGTATAGAAAACAAGTCACTGCAGGTAGCACAAACATCACACGATAGTGCCAAGGTAGTGGAGGGTTGCCTGTGTGAGCACGATGGCCTTCGTGGTTCAGGTGAGCCTGCTAAGTGGCAGAACAGTTTCACTGGAAGCAGAACCGGACCCCTACCCTAGAATGGGCTATATCATGGGTATATAGTAGCTATATTAAGGGTATATACCTAGGAGCCAGTCTGTAAAAGCAGTGCGTCGCAGTGCACAGAAGGCGCTGGCAGTCGGCGCAGGCAGACTCTTGGACTCCTCCGGAGGCGTTCTGGATGGAGCAGCCACGCTTGAGGAATCTGGCTTGCGGTGATACGCTGACCTTGAAGATCAGCAGCTGTCAGGTTCGCGGCCACGATTCTGCTTTCGCTGCGATCCTGGACGATGGTTCTGTTGTGACCTGGGGCGATGCTGACGATGGTGGCAACAGCAGCCATGTACGAGGTCAGCTGAAGGATGTGCAGCAGATCCAAGCTTCCATGAATGCTTTTGCTGCCGTTCTGGGCGATGGGTCTGTTGTGACTTGGGGCAGTGCTGACAGTGGTGGCGACTGCAGTGCTGTGCAGGATCAGCTGAAGGACGTGCAGCAGATCCAAGGTACCAACACGGCTTTTGCTGCCATTCTGTGCGACGGGTCTGTTGTGACCTGGGGCAGTTCTGCCGCTGGTGGCGACAGCAGAGCTGTGCAGGATCAGCTGATGGACGTCCAACAGATTCAAGCTACTGGGTTTGCTTTTGCTGCCATTCTGGGCGATGGGTCTGTTGTAACCTGGGGCGATGATTGTGGCGACAGCTGTGATGTGCAACATCAGCTGAAGGGCGTTCAGCAAATTCAAGCATCTCAGTATGCATTTGCCGCCATTCTGAGAGATGGGTCTGTTGTGACCTGGGGCGATGCTGGCGCTGGTGGCGACAGCAGTGCTGTGCAAGGTCGGCTACAGGACGTGCAGCAGATCCAGGCTTCTGAAATAGCTTTTGCTGCCATTCTGGGCGATGGGTCTGTCGTGACTTGGGGCGATGATGACGGTGGTGGCAACAGCCGTGATGTGCAAGATCAGCTGAAGGACGTGCAACAGATTCACGCTACTGTTGATGCTTTTGCTGCAGTCCTTGGCGATGGTTCTGTAGTGACCTGGGGCAGTTCTGCAGCTGGTGGCGACAGTAGTGCTGTGCAAGCTCAGCTGAAGGATGTGCAGCAGATCCAAGCTACCGCCATGGCTTTTGCTGCCATTCTGGGCGATGGGTCTGTTGTGACCTGGGGCAGTGCTGACAGTGGTGGCGACTGCACTGCCGTGCAGGATCAGCTGAAGGACGTGCAGCAGATCCAAGCTACAAGGAGTGCTTTTGCTGCCATTCTGGGCGATAGGTCTGTTGTGACCTGGGGCAGTGCTGACAGTGGCGGTGACAGCAGTGCGGTGCAAGCTCAGCTGTCAAACCAGTAGAGCTGTGCAACACGCGGCAGAAGCTGCCCATGTTATGTTTATCGACTTTGCTGGGGCAGTGGCTTTGTATCTCACTGATCACCACTCCCTTGTACAAATTGTCCCCACTTCGAGCCTTTTTCATGGAAAGGCACCCAGAGGCAAGCTATCCATTTCATAAAGCACGCTGGCGAAGCCGAGAAGTATTTGGGCACATTCACTGCAGTTTAGGATTCAGGGCGGAGGGCATTTAGACGTGTTGGGCGCTTTGGGGAGTTTGGAGGCCTCTGCCTTTCCTTTTTCATCTTACCAGCATTTAAGACGACAATCCATCCGTCTTATCCCAGTCTTCTAGAGTATCCGACATCAGCAAGCGGTTGCAACCGCAGCCAGTCAATATTCCATACGATGAACGAGAGCAAGAAGTTGTTTGCCTAGGAATTGCCAGGATACACCTGTTCCATACGTTTTTCGCAGCACTGCAGTGCATCTTTCGGGCCCTAAGTGGCCTCTCGGGTGATTTTTGAGTTGCTAGCAGAAGCCAGCTACGCGAGCTGCGCAAAATCGAATCCAACCGGTGCTTCTTTCACTGAAGCGAACGCTGCGGCAATGTGGCACAAAATGTCAACAGTCAAGAGGGGTTCGAGATGGTTTTGGCCAGAGGCTGCTTAACCCCTGTCCCGAAGCCTCGTCGGAAGCATAATATGCGAGCTTCCGAATTTTAGGGGACGCTAATGTAGTACCCTAAATAGTAGGATCCTTATTATAAGGACCCCAAAATAAGGTACCCCGAATTTTCGGAAACTCTAAACCCTGATAGAGCCCTTTAAAGGGACCCTTATAGTACCCTTATAGTAACCCTTCCAAGGAACCCCAAAATAAGGTACTCTTTATAGGAACCCTAGGATCCCTTATAGGCGCCCTTAAAGCAACCCTATTTTGGGTACATGAAGCCTTTGGGAAGCTGGGCGCACCTCGGGACCGAAGCAGTTTCGGCAGGGCTGCGGCCACCGCGAACTTCACATGGAAGCCACGGAAAGCGCCGATTTCTTCAGGCATGATTGCAACCAAAAGGCTTCAGGGTCTAGGGTTTAGGGTAACCCAAAGGCTCCAGGTACCCATATAGTAAGTACTTATGCCTGAAAGTACCTACAGGACCCCCTTCAAGGCGTAAGTATAACTGCATGGCTACTTGGAGTCGTAGGTTCGGGACGACGGTTCAGGTGCAGTTGAGACCCTCATTCACTTAATTGCGCAATACTCCAGCAAGCTCTGAGCGGAGTTTAAGGAACGCCCCTGAATTAACGAATGCTGGGCTCTTTGGGTCTCCAGTTGAGGTCCAGCGTCAAGAAGGGAAGGAAAGTCAGTAAAAACCTAAACCCAAGCGCTTGGGGCTCAAGATCTTTAGCTGCTCAGGATGCCCTTCTGTTACTATGTGCCAACCACAGAAGAGGGTACCTTTGTTGGTGTTATGGGGTTACTTGGGAAACCCGAAGTTTGATGAGTTTTGCTTGACGCTGGGCCTGTTCGGCGCTTAATGAATGAGAGGGATGGGGTCGACAGAAACCGAACTATCCACGAGGATTCAGTTCGGGGGGCGGGGTTGCTTCTCAGATGTCACGCGATGCCAAGCACAACGTCTATGCAAATAGGCCCCCGATCTATTTCCTAAACAGTCGGAAGATGTCGGAAGCTTACTAATTACAGGGGCTGTGAAGTTTGTAGCTGGTGTGCAAGACGGTCTCAGTGCCAATGCACGTGCAGGTTGACTATCCCAGGGTGAGTGTAAGAGGTATGTTGTGTTGTGACATGTTAGATGGTTAAACTTCAATCCTTAATGCCCGATTTCACCCTGAATCCTAAGCCTTAGACGAATATAGGAACTATATAGACCCCTTAAAGGAACTCCCATAGATCCCGTACAGGAACCCCATACTCAGTCGCTAAGGGCTTAAATGGAATAGGCTCCTACCTCGCCGAAGTATTCTGTAAGAGCTCTACGACGGTTTAGGGTTTAGGTTTGAGGGTTCAGAAAGCACTTGGAGAATCATGGGGCTTAGTAAGTAAGGCAATAAGAACCCTAAGTGGGGATATAAGTAGTTTTAAGTACAGCTACCTTAATTATAACCCTAGTTACTAAGTTCCATGGTCCTTCAAGCAAGGCCGCGGCCATAATCATGGGGCGTTTAGGGTTTACGGTTCACCGTCTTGGTTACGTAAAGGTTCATGGTTTCGGAGGTACCAAATCGAGCTTCGGCTTCTGTTTTGGGGTTTAGGAGGGTTTAGGGTTTGGGGTTTAGGGTGGTGATGTGCAGGTGCCCTCGCTTCTACGCGGCACCTCATTGCCAGCGCATGCAGCACAGGGCTCTTTGTTGAAGCAGGCGGGGGTGTGCAGACAGAGCCCATGTTACATCTGAATACCGGCACCTCAAGTTTTTTTCAGCCTTAAAACCTAAGCGCCAAATTTCCAATCTCGGGGGGGGGGGGGGGGGGGTAATGTAAGAACCTGATTAAAATCCCTGGGCAAATAACCCCCAAAATACTAGGGCTTTTAATCAGGTTCCTACATCAACCCCCCCCCCCCCCCCCCTTATAGTACCCTTTAAAGGAACCCTCATAAAGCCCTATAATTTGGGTTTCTTTATATAAGTCCTCAAAAAGGTAGGTTATTCCGGGTTAAGGTAAGCCCTAAATCCTAATCTCGGGGTACATGGCCGACGTGAACTTGGGGTTGAGCACGCTAACCCCTAGGGTTTAGGGTTTAGGGTTTAGGGTTTAGGGGTTTAGGGTTTAGGGTTTAGGGTTTAGGGTTTAGGGTTTAGGATTTAGGGTTTAGGGTTTAGGGTTTAGGGACCCAGAAGGTCCAAAGTACCGATATAGTAGAATGTAGGGTTTCTCTATTAGGAATTACTGCTTTGATTTGGGGAAGTATTCCCCATAACAGCACATAGGACACTAACCCAGAGGGTCCATATACAATACTATAGTGGAATTAGGCCCTAAAAGACCATCCATCCCCACTATGGTTTTGGGGACCTATTTCCATAATAGTAGTGTATATGGACCCTCTGGGTAATGAAATCTGGAAGATGGCTTTCAGAGCAAGGCCTGCGAAAAGCAATGTCAGGTAGGTTACTTGGAGAATCATGGGACTTAGTAAGTAAGGTCATAAGTACCCTAAGTGGGGATATAAGTAATTATAAGTACAGTTACCGTAATTATCACCCTAGTTACTAAGTCCCATGATGCTTCAAGTAACCGTGGGCAGGACATGACCCTTAACAGTAAGGGCCCTATACGCTCATAGTAGCATGAGTCCTTTTTGCAAGCTGAATTCTTAAACCCTTTGAGGGTGTATGTCGTCCTGAGGAAGGTAAAGCCTGTTTCGAGTTGGATCCAAATGGGGGTTTCCGAAAGTGGGGGGACCCTAATATACTACACGAAATAGTAGGATCCTCATTACGAGGACCCCCAAAGAAGGTACCCCTAATCTTCGGAAACTCTAACCCCTTGTATAACCCTTTAAAGGAACCCCAAAATAAGCTATCCCTAATTTTCGGAAACTCCCAAATTTGTTTTTTCAAGGATGGTCTTGAGCCTTAGGCCGTACCCTAAACCCTATAGCCCTAAACCCTAAACCCTAAACCCTAAACCCTAAACCCTGACCTGCAATAACCAGCGAAGAAGTCGTAATCCGAGCTCCAAGTTCCCATCTTGCTCGTTGGATCATGGGACTTAGTAAGTATGGTTCCTTAAAGGGGTCCTTTTAGGGATCTATAGGGCTCCTTAAAGGGATCTATAGGGTTTAGGGTTTAGGGCCTACTTGGAGGATCATGGGACTTAGTAAGTATGGTTATAAGTACCTTAAGTGGTGTTAGAAGCAATTACAAGTATAGTTACCTCAATTATAACCCTAAACCCCTAAACCCTAAACCCCTAAACCCTAAACCCTAAAACCCTAAACCCTAAACCCCTAAACCCTAAACCCTAGTCCAGGGGCCTCACTCGTCCATTTTTGGAGGGGTCCTTTTTTTGTATTTACAGTATAGTGGGCCCCAAAACCCTAGTTTAACGATTCCGTCGGACATGTTCACTTGCAAGTGTTTGCCTATTTTAACGATTAAGGCCCCCATAGTACCCACCTTGCGGCTATCCTACAAATGACCTTTCTAACCTGCAATCTGGTTCCTTTGACCTGTCAAACCAGGTAATACCAGAATAATCTGCCCGTTTGGGGTTTATAGGGTGCACTTTTTCGTTAAGGGGATCCTTATAGGGCTTTTTAAAGGGATCCTTAAAAGAATCTATAATGAGAGTTCAAAAAAGAAGAATCATGAGACTTAGCAAGTAAGGTTATAAGTACTTTACGTGGAGTCACAATAACGTATAAGTATAACTATGCAAATTATGATAACCCTATTATAGTTACTAAGCCCCATGACTCTCCCAAAGGGTCCTATGTACTGTTATGGGGAATACTTCCCCAAATCATAATAGTAATTCCTAATATAGAAACCCTACATCCTACTATATCGGTACTTTGGGCCCTTTGGGTCTCTATGTAGGCTTGAATTCCCGAACAAACCTGTGAACCCTGAGCCGTCAGCGCTTCTGACCCTAAATACAACCTCGGAGCCTAGGACCCCCAAATCCACTCTCTAGTCTACTATTTGCTTAAGAACCCCCCAAAAAATAAAAAATGATAATCTTCATATTATCCCTATAAGGAATATTTGTTTTTTATTTTTTGGGGGTTCTTAAGCAAGTAGTAGTAGTAATTCCTAGGATGCCCAGTAGTACCCTTATTCCCTTTTTGTAGTCCTAGATTCCTTATAAAGTTACCCAATACCAAAAAGAGAGGCCGTTTTATTCTTAGGTTACTGGGTATCCTAGATTCCTAGACCCGGAAGCCGCAAAACCTTCCGACAAACACAGAAGACCCATAAGAAACCTAATCAACGACCTTGACAGGCCCAGAGCAGAAAAATTGGAACGACCCTAAACCCAAAACCCTAAGTCCTAACACCCTAAACCCTGAATCCTAAACCTTAAGCCATCCTAAACCCAAAACCCTAAATCCTAAAACCCTAAACCCTAAGCCATCCTAAAGCCCCAATCCCTAAATTCCCTAGACCCTGAATCCCAAGGTTTAAGACCCGGTCGCTGCGGAGAAAGAGCCATTGCACATTAACAAAAAATCATCTTAAACCCAAAAAGCCCGCACCTACGGCCCCGCGGAGGCGGCTGGCACTGCAGCGATCGCGGCCGTGCTGGGGCGTCGTCCGAGGTCCCCAGACTCGCCAGGGGGTGCAGCGGTTCCTTTAAGGGGTCTGTAGGGGTTCCTTTCAGGCATCCATAAGGGTTCATTTTTAAGGGGTCTAGAGGGGTTTAGAGTTTGGGAGTGTAGGGGTTTAGGGACCGGGGTTTAGGGTTTCGGGTTTAGGACGACGGGAGTTGCGGTTTTTTGGTATATTATATTTATGTTAGAGTTTTGGATATACGACTTGTATGAAAGTTCCTTTCCGGGATCCGAAAGCCGTTTTGCAAAGGGTCTGTGGCGTTCTTTGGTGTATGGCGTGTCGGGTTTGGGCTTACGGGGGGGATGTGCGGGCTGTTGGCAAGGCTTTCATTGCCCAAAGGGTGAGAAGCACTTATTTGGGCAAGTATGCCCCAATCGGTACTGAGGACACTTGGGGCCCTAAGCCCTAACCCCTCAAACCCCGAAGCCCTAGAGAACAAATGACACGGGGATTCGGGCTCGTGGCAGAGCTTGTACCGAAGCAGCGATGGCTAGACGGCTTGAGGTTCCTTTGAGGCCCCTCTAAGGGGTACTATTGGGTTCTATGGTCGGGGGTACTACTGGGGTTCTGTAATCGGGTCCCACTACAGCCTACTCTTAGGGTTCTGTAATAAGGCCCCCATGCAGGGAAATGTGGGGTTCTTTTTCTCTGAGGTATCTAGAAGGATAGACGAGTTTCAGGATGCATGGGAGACCGCCAGCTGACAATAGTAGATGCGGTTTACGGGCTCAAGGGTTTAGGGAGGGCTTAGGTGCCCAAGTTCCAGACGGCCAGCAACACTTCTGCTGCCACCAATTCCTCGTGCGACTTCACGTTGGTGAGGGCTTCACCTCGGGAGAGCGACTGCGACACCCATATGCAAAGGGGAAAAGGAGGGACCCTTAATGGGGACCCCTACCCTATAATGGGCTATGATCATTGAGGTTTTGGCTTGGGGGAAGACGTGTGTTCAGAGTTTACTATTTGTATGCTTTAAAGCGACTTGTAGCGCCTAGTCGGGGCGGCGCGAGATGTGTTGGCATGTTTTACCGCACGTGACGGAATCCGTCGCGCGTTTTTTGTGCAAATACGCGTTTCGCGGGAGCACATTTTCAGTCCGAAAAAGAGGCTTTAAAAAAACACTGTTTTCAGCGCTAGTTTTGTGGAAACCATGGCAGGCGTGGCACTTTGCGAGCTTCGGCGTGTTACTTTTTTGGGTCTTCTTCTTCGCGTGGCTGAAAGGCCGAAAACACCGCGCACAACGAGGTTTTCGTGATGTCAAGAGTCCAAAATGCGAATTTGGCGTTTACCCCAAAGTTTGTGTTCTTTTCTTCTACGTGGTTTCGAAGATGAGTAAGCAATGAATTTTTCAACCGCGAATGTGGCAGCAGAGAGATCAATGAAAACGACATGTTCGTCGCATTATCAAAACATTGGGAATTGCAGCGGATTTGCGCATATCTTCGCGAAAGCTGCATCGGATCATCTTCGTGAGATGTGCCTATCGCAGGAAAACGCATCGGATGAACTTCGTCAGATTTGAGAGATTCATCTGAGTTGAGTGGAAAATAGGATAGATTGGAATCAGGATGAAAACATTGGGAATTCGTATAGATTGAGGAGGATTGGTGAATTTTTTTCGCGACAACTGCATCGCATCACCTTCGTGAGATGTGGCTATTGCAGGAAAGCTCATCGGATGAACTTCGTCAGATTTGAGAGGTTCATCTGAGTTGAGTGGAAGATAGGATAGATTGGAATCAGGATGAAAACATTGGGAATTCGTATTGGTTGAGGAGGATTGGTGAATTTTTGTCGCGACAACTGCATCGGATCATCTTCGTGAGATGTGGCTATTGCAGGAAAGCGCATCGGATAAACTTCGTCAGATTTGTGAGATTCATCTGAGTTGAGTGGAAGATAGGATAGATTGGAATCAGGATGAAAACATTGGGAGTTCGTATTGGTTGAGGAGGATTGGTGAATTTTTGTCGCGACAACTGCATCGGATCATCTTCGTGAGATGTGGCTATTGCAGGAAAGCGCATCGGATCAACTTCGTCAGATTTGAGAGATTCATCTGAGTTGAGTGGAAGATAGGATAGATTGGAATCAGGATGAAAACATTGGGAATTCGTATTGGTGGAGGAGGATTGGTGAATTTTTTTTCGCGACAACTGCATCGCATCACCTTCGTGAGATGTGGCTATTGCAGGAAAGCGCATCGGATGAACTTCGTCAGATTTGAGAGAGTTGAGAAGATTAGATTGGAATCAGGATGAAACATGGGATTTCGTATTGGTTGAGAGGATTGGTGAATTTTTTGTCGCGACAACTGCATCGGATCATCTTCGTGAGATGTGGCTATTGCAGGAAAGCGCATCGGATAAACTTCGTCAGATTTGTGAGATTCATCTGAGTTGAGTGGAAGATAGGATAGATTGGAATCAGGATGAAAACATTGGGAGTTCGTATTGGTTGAGGAGGATTGGTGAATTTTTGTCGCGACAACTGCATCGGATCATCTTCGTGAGATGTGGCTATTGCAGGAAAGCGCATCGGATGAACTTCGTCAGATTTGAGAGGTTCATCTGAGTTGAGTGGAAGATAGGATAGATTGGAATCAGGATGAAAACATTGGGAATTCGTATTGGTTGTGGAGGATTGGTGATTTTTTGTCGTGACAACTGCATCGGATCATCTTCGTGAGATGTGGCTATTGCAGGAAAGCGCATCGGATAAACTTCGTCAGATTTGTGAGATTCATCTGAGTTGAGTGGAAGATAGGATAGATTGGAATCAGGATGAAAACGTTGGGAATTCGTATAGATTGAGGAGGATTGGTGAATTCTTTTCGCGACAACTGCATCGGATCACCTTCGTGAGATGTGGCTATTGCAGGAAAGCGCATCGGATCAACTTCGTCAGATTTGAGAGATTCATCTGAGTTGAGTTGAAGATGAGATAGATTGGAATCAGGATGAAAGCATTGGGAATTCGTATTGGTGGAGGAGGATTGGTGAATTTTTGTCGTGACAACTGCATCGGATCAACTTTGGCCCACGCTCACGCAGCACGGACGTTATTCCCCCCCCCCCCCCCCACCCGCACCCCCCTCCCGACTCCCGAAGACAAGTCCGAATCCTCAGAAATGCACGAAAACGCACGACAGTTAACGATCCGTCAGCATGTTTTACTTGGAGGATCATGGGACTTAGTAAGTAAGGCTATAAGAACCCTAAGTGGGGATATAAGTAGTTATAAGTACAGTTGCCTTAATTATAACCCTAGTTACTAAGTCCCATGGTCCTTCAAGTAGGGTTTGCACATCCGGGTTGAGGGGGGTCTTACTGTCCTCAAGGTTGGTTGTTTGAGGTTTCAGGGGTCGGCGTTGTTGAGTGAAAGTCCGTGGTCGCTTCAATTGACCGCAACCCCAATGTAGGGGCCCTGAATGTTTACTATTACCAATACCATTTTGGGGGGGTCCCTATTATAATTAAAGTATAGTATACCCCAAACCCTTTTCTAATGATCAAGGGCCGTCTATTAGCCCCTGAAGCCCTGTATACACCTTCAGTACCCTGCTCGCCGCACCCTAAACCCTAAAGTTGCGGATCCTGCACCAAAATCTTGCACCTTATGCTACCAACCCCGCACCCAGAAGCCCCACTAAGGCCGCTGATCCCTGAATCAGGGTGTACCTGTAGCCGAAAAGACCTACCTTTTTTAAGGTACTATATACAGAAACCCTAATAAGGAACCCTAAACAAGTAGGTCTTGTCGGCTAGAGGTAGGGTTGAGGATCCCTAAGCACCGAGGCCTTTGATCCTGCGACGGGCCATCATGTGGGATCGCGAGTTAGAGCCTCTGGCCCCCATCACGAAGAAGGCGGGGAGTGTGCCAAGTAGTAATTCCCAAAGGGTCCAAAGTACCGATATAGTAGAATGTAGGGTTTCTATATTAGGAATTACTATTATGATTTGGGGAAGTATTCCCCATAACAGCACATAGGACCCTTTGGGATTAACAATACCCCGTTTTCGATGCTTTACATCGATGCAGAAATTTCCTCCCCCGAAAGCCGGACTCGAATTATAAAGGCCTGTATAGAACCCTGGTTTCAACACCGCAGTTCAAAGCCTTGCCCTCTAAGGGGTCGACGTGCTTTTGTGCCTACAGCCAGGACCCAAAACACACACACACACAGAAACTTTTGGGTGCGACATCATTACCTTGTTGAATTACTTATCGCTGAGGTTATGCTCTATGTATACCAATCTGCCGGTCGGTAGGTGTTGGTTTTGTTCATGCCTTTTCAAATGACCCATAGCCATTTTTCGTAACACGAGGGTTCGGGGTTTAGCATTTCGAGTTAATGGATTTAAGTGTTCAGGGGTTTGGGGTTTAAGTGTTTGGGGTTTGGGCTGTCGGATTTAGACTTTAAGGGTTTAGGGCTCCAGACTTGGAGTTTACGGGTTACCTGGACCCCAGGAAGCATGTTTGGTCTTAGGTTCCTTATAATACCCACCGGGGATCAATCTTAATCATAGGCATAAGGATGGTAGTATTAAATACGAATAGTACTTGGGGAAGCGATTTTCAGTTTGCGCGGAACAAGCTTAAGCGCACTTGGATGCCGGCAGGGCAGCCTGCGGAATGCAGCTCAGTGAGTGGCATCCATGGTGGCGCTCCGCGCCCTTTCCTTTCATGATTTTCTCGAGATAACGCGCAACATGGACAGGCTGCTTGTTGCAGGAGGGCCTTGTGTTTAGGAACAGGCCCAGCAAGCGTTACTTCCCGTCGCTCGATTTCCACTGTTCGGCATTTTTGATGTGGGAGATCAAATCGATGCTTGTCACTGGTACCAAGACAAAGATACGATAGAAAGATGGAGGAAGCTATGGCACGGAACTCAATTCAATCTGCTGCGACTGGGAGCCACCGCCAAGCGTTGAAAATGAACGATTACGGTTTCGCATGCTGCCTCCAAAGCCCTGCACCTGCCCGAGAAGGCACTCCCAGCAAAACCTGAAATGCTGAATGTTACCCCAGAGCCGCGTTACCCCAAATGTCACCCCAAAACCGCGGAACCCCGAGTGTTCCCCCAGGCCGCGTCCCCAAATGTTATCCCAGGGCCGCGTTACCCCCAATGTTACCCCAAATGTTACCCCAGGAAGGTTCAGGTGCTGAAGTCATTTAACTCCGAAATGTTGCTGTTCTGGGTGCCATGTTCTGACCGTGCAGGAATAGAGCATGTAGGGCCACAGGGTCTGCAGGCACCTTCTGGCTACACAGGCTAGCTTCCAGGGCATGCGCACAGTTTCCGCTGTCATGACAGCGCCATTTGCAGCCAGTGGATCGCAGGGGTAAGCCTTAAAGCCTAAAATCCCTAGTTAATCCCTAAATCCTAAACCACAAAATCCTTAAGCCCTAAACTAAGCCCCAAAGCCCTAAACTTGGCCCTAAACTCTACAACGAATACCTTAACACCTAAAGCCCTCACAGGTCTTCTTGGAGGTGGAGGGCGACGGCCAGGATGCGCCGTGCGGGCGCATTGCGCGCGACTGAGGACAGCCGATGTCTAGATCCCTTTTTCATGTCCCTTAAACGGTTTCCCTTCAGGGTTGCATCAAAAGGGTTCCTTTCAGGGGGTCAGCATCTCAAAGGTTGAAGGCTTAGGGTACCTGTACTTGGAGGTAGGCATGCTACGAAGATGGAAAATGGTTCCCCAAAACCGCGATTGGAATGGTGGCCAGTTTCCGTAGTCGTACATTGTAGTAAGGTGCCCTTGACCCTCAACCTGAGTAAGGTATCCGTTAACTCTAAGTCCTCCTCGGCCGCAGCCCTCAGGCTCCATGAACCCGCATATGATCTAGACTTAAGCCACAAAGGGTTTTCCAATATTGGTACTTGAGGCCTAGGTAGATACTGTATGCCGACTAGATGGGGACATAGAGCCATAAACCCAGCACCCTCAAAGAAGCCTTATGGCAACCCAAACCCTTCATCCTACACACTATATAAGCAGCCTTATAAATCCTATAGACGACTAAATTAAGCCCTAAACTCTAAACTCTAAACTCTAAATCCTGAGCCTCAAACTCTAAACCCCAAACCCGAGGTTTTGGGTCCTAAACGCCAAACCCACCCTTAACCCTAAACTACCCATAGGCCCCAACGTAGTTCCTTTTGGGGGTTACCTTAGAGGATTCTTATAATATGAACCCCCAAAAAAGGAACTACTTTGGGGTCTTAGGGCAGCACCCAACGCCCAACAATCCAAACCCCAAGCCCTATATAAACCCTATAAAGCCCCTATAAATCCTGAAGCTCAAACTCCAAACCCCTAAACTCGAGGTCTTCGGCCTCTATGCGGATCTGGTTCCCAAGGCCGCCGAGAACTTCCGCGCGGCGTCCTCAGAAGCTCAGTGACAAGGTCGTGCCCGCCTTACCCCAAGGTCCAAAGGATAGCAGTTATGCACGTTCATGACTATACTGGAGAGTATATGATGATTAGGTACTTGGACCCTTAGGGTTAGGGTCAAGGGTTTAGGTTTAAGGTTTAATTAGGCCTAATTTCTAGGGTTTAGAGTTCCGGTTTACAGTTTAGGGTATAGGTTTTAGGTTTAGGCATCCGGTTTAGTCTTGGGGTTCCGCGTTAGGGTGTAGGGTTATTGCAGTGAAGGGTTGAGGACCTAAGGAAATTTATGTCTAAAGGTACTATGATGTCCATACCATAGGGCTTTATGGTGCCATCACAAAATCTTCTAGGCAGCATAAGAGGCCGGAGACCATCAAATACTGTACCTCATAATTGGCATACCAGTCAGAATTTGCAAGAATTTCGTAAGGGTTGCTGGTTCACAGGCCGGCTATGAGTGTAGGGGTCCAGTAAGAGTTTTCGGAAGGGGTATCCTGAGGCTTAATCTAGAGCACCCTAAAGGGCCCAGTGGCCGAGTAGGACTGCGGGGGCTTCTACACCAGGGCTCTCTCGGACTATAAGTTTAATCTTCCAGGCCTAAACCCTAAACCCTATAGCCCCAAGCCCTAACCCTAAAAGCGGGCCCACGTGACAGCAACAACTGGCGTTTGGCTCTTTGGGCCTATCACCCCACCCCTTAAGGGTCGACGAACCTAAAAAGTAATTATGTGTTTACCCTCAAGTACTTTATTGGAACCGCTTCCAGGCCCAGGTATTTACTACCGTAAACCCCCATCGCAACTGTGACGATTTGCCATTTGGACCAGAAAGCCCTCACCCGCCCCCCCCCCCCCCCACAAACCCTTAGACCCTAACCTCCAAACGCCAAACCCTAAACCGTACTTCAAACTCTCAGTAAATCCCAGATCACAGAACCCTAGAAAGAACTCAGAGGAGTGTTCTCAGTTCTGATTCTATTTGAGCGAAACTTTTAGAACCCTGAAGGAGTTCTTAAGCAAAAATCGTTAACCCAGAGGGTCCAAGTACTCAAATAATGGGGTTTTAGATCCCAAAATCCATACCCTGAATGGTTTTTGGAGCTTGAAACCCTACTGTTTGGGAGTTTCCGAAAATTAGGGGTACCTGATTGTAGGGTCCTTTTAATGAGGATCCTACTATTTAGGGTACTATATTGGGGTCCCCTATTTTCGGAAACTCCCATTTGGGTACTTGGACCCTCAGGGTAAGGGAACCTGTCCAGCCCGACATCCTCAGGCGCTGTGCACTGGGGAGAAGGGGCTTTCTTACCGCGGCAGCCGCTTCCACCGAATCTTCTGGGACTTCATGGTGCAAGGCTACCACTTAGCGTGTCTTAGAAATGATTCTTAATCTTTGGTTATTTTTGTCCCTAAGAATCAGCTAAAATTATAACTTTTGCTAGGGTTCTAAGTTCAGTAGAGACCACGGACGGTTTAGGTTACGGGTGTGGGGTTGGGGGGTTTGGAGTTCATGGGCTTAGTTTCCAGGGTTTAGGGTTTAGGGTTTACAGGTTACATGTTGCTTCGTGATTGACAAAGATGATGGAGAGCTGTTTGTTGATGCTTTGTTGAAGTTCAGGGCTTCAGAGTTTTGCCGCGCCTGTCGTTCTGTTCCCTTAGGCTCCATGTACCCAATAGTATAGTCTGTACTTACGCAGGGGTTCCCATATACCATATAGGCGTTTCAAGGCTTATAAGTATACACTATGTGAGTACGTGGAGGCTGCGGGGTTGGTCTTGCGACTCGTTGAGCCGACCACGGCCACTGCCACCTGGTTTCGACATTGGGTTTAGGGTTCAGGGTGTCGGGGTTGTGTCTGTGTCTTGTTGCTGCCGGATGAGTGTTGATGTCCTCATCGCTGAATCTGGTTCCATGTCGATGTTCTTAGAGCTCTCGGTTGGCTTCTCATCACCTATTCAGAATCATGTCTACACCTTAGCCCCTACATTTTCCGAGCCCTTCAGATAGAGATCCTGAAACCTTAGCCCTAAACCCTAAACCCTAGACCCTAAACCCTAGACCCTAAACCCTAAACCCTTAACCGTTAACCCTGTAGATGGTTCATGTTGGGGTCCGCTGTTTCCTTGAAGCTCCTAAACAAGATTATCGACAGCCAAAAGTCCAAAGCTAAGCATTATCGGGACCCTTGGGAGTTCTGACACAATCTTACTACAGTACAAACATCTGCAAACCTAAGGGGACGGTTGACACATTCGTATTACGATTATTCTTACAATTATTGATGCTATTCTTGCTATGGTCATGAGGACCTTTCGGGGGATAGGGGTAGGGGGATGGGAGGCCTTAATACCTATAAGAAGGACCTCGTAAGGCTTTTTCAGGAAGTATAGTACCCTACCCCCCTCCCCCTTACCCCCCCTAAGATTCCCTATCAAATTGTTTGCGGGCTGTAGACTCCCCCAGCCGGAGGCGGCAAGATCGAGACTGCGGATGGACACTCCGATTGAATTTTTCGGCTTGGGCTTCGAGGAGTTTACGTAGGGTAGTAAGTTTAGGGCTTAGTCTGACACTTAGTGCTTCGAGGTTTTTGGGGTTTCTGGTGTTGGGTTTAGGGTTCATGCAGGCTTTATTGTAAGGTGTTCAGGGAGGGTATGGGAGGGTGGTTGGGTGTGCAACCGCCAAATGTGGCGGGTTCCACAGAAGGACAGGTCAACGTAAGCACAGGGGTCTACGTGTATCTAAACATGAGTACACACATACTACACCACTCACAAGACTGTTCTGCACCTCAGAGTGTGGCAAGTGCATGTGACGTCAGGGTGTATGAGCTGGCTTCGGCTAATTAGGCATGTTCTTTGAAATGTGTTTATCGCCTGAAAAAGCTTGATAGGGTTTGAAAATGTTTGAAAGGTAATTTGCAGCCTCTTGTGGTTCAGCGAGGTGTGGGTTCAGGAAGGTTTGCCGCCACAGCCTTGACCCTAACCTGCCCGTTGTAAACCCTAAAGCTTTGCCATAACCGTGATGCGGCAAGTCGTAAATCCTGAGCCCTGAAAGGGGCGCGGCAGCAAGCCCTGCTGTACCCTGAAGCCTCAGGCTCATTGCAAAAACACTTCCTATTCATGCCGTGCACCCCCGAAACTTCTAGTATTCTCGGGAGAAATTCTTAGACCCCGAAACTCTGAACCCTAACCCTAAACTCTGAAGCGGATGCTGAGGCGTGTATGGCGCAACCTTTGAGGATGAGGAGTCAGGCCGGGCAAAAGGGTTTTATGTTTTGAGCCTTACGGTTTGGGGGCTTAGGGTTAGCATTCATAAAGGCTTTTAAGGTATTTGGTCTTAGGGTTTAGGATTGTAGGTATAGGGTTTCGGTTTAGGGTACTGTTAAGGGTTTTAGATTCAGAGTTTAGGGTACGGCTGGTCTTCGAGGTGTAATTCGGGCGTAGAGTCTTCAGCAGCAGCTGATGGAGAACAGAGACTTTTGCGAGCATTCCGGGTGGTTTTGTGCAGGGAGCGTGGATCGTGATCTGCAGGTTCTTTTCCTTGAAAAAAGCAGTTTTGGATTCCGTGAGTATTGGCATCTGGTTCAGTGCTTCTGGTTTAGGTTGTTGGTGCATGCTATTCGAAGCCCTATTGGGAAGTTTGACATGCTGGAGGCTAAGGTCTATGAGGCTCCTCCCTGCATTTACAACATGCAGATAAACCTACAATGCAAACCCGACACAAACCGGGATGCCTAGCTAGACCCTAAACCCTAAACCCTAAACCCTAATCCCTAAACCCTAAACCCTAAACCCTAATCCCTAAACCCTAATCCCTAATCCCTAAACCCTAAACCCTAAACCCACAGAACCCCACAAGTTTAGAAGTCCCAAACCCTATAATCCCAAAAAAGCCCAGCAGCCGAAGCCCGAACGCCTCAACCTCTGCATGTGGCCAAGGAGATTTAGGAGTTTCCGAAAATAGGAGACCATAATCTAGTACCCTAAACATAGTAGGATCCTTATTATTAGAACACCAAAAGAAGGTGCCCCGAATTTTCGAAAACCCCCGTTTGGGCTTAACAGCTGATGGTTCTTATGCCGGCTCGGGGCTCCGCGCCTCGAGGGTATACGGTTCTGAATGCGGGGATACCTATATAGTCTCCATTGCAGTTCCTTTTCTTAGTTTAACCTATGAAATATTTAAGGATCGTATGAGGTAACCCCAAACAGTAACTACAATGGAGACTATAGGTAGTTTCGATTCTGATTTATGGATTTGGGGTTTGGGTGGTTATGGTTTAGGTTGGGGATGTGGGGTTTGGGGTTAACTGTCTTGCTTTTAGAAGAAAAGATCCGAGCCCTTGAATTTACCTCCTGTTGTGATTGCCCCATATTCTTGCCAGAAGACGCTGATTTTCAGAATAGGAGACCCAAGAAGAGGTAGTCTAGGTAAGCTCTTCGTGATAGAACCGAGCAAGCCGCAGCCCTAAACCTTAATTTCCAAAACCCGTATGGAGCCCGTTGTAGTAGCCCGTATCGAAGCCCCAAATCCTAAACCTGAGTAGGCTTGGACCTCTATCATGAGCGCCCTGGATTGCTTGGAATGGCCAACAGTGGCCCCGACACAAACAGTCTCTCGACAAATATTTTATGGGTTTGGGGTTTACCTGAGTTATTTGGGGTTCCTACAAGAGGCTTGGGGTGTGGGGTTTAGGGCTTTCAGGTTCGAGGGCCCTGATTCCATTTTTACTGTTTCACGGAGCGGGTCTGTCGTATTTAGGTTGTCTGCTTTGTTCCAGCCCAACCCTAAGCCGCAAACAAAAAAACATAAAATAAGTTGCCTTGGTGTACTTAATCGGAGACTAGCTTCCCCCCATTCCTGAAAGAGCCCTTTCACACCGCAATCTCTTGCTTCAGCAGTATCTTGACGCCAACGAAATGCGCGCGGCCAGGTGCTCAAAACATCTCGAAACTGTCCATGGGGCACTTAGATGTATTGGCAACTACCACAGTGCAGTAATGGTCTCTTCGTGCAAAGCGTGATTTCGTTGGTGTCTTGCCTTTGTCTTTGCCTCAGCCCCAAACTATATAGACTCACAACCGCACCTGAAGCTCAACACCGCCTGACAGCCTTGTGTAGCACGGCATATTAGGCTCACATCCTTATACTACAAGCCCCTGGCACCTGAGATAATAGCAGCTTGAAACTCCGGCCATTCTAAACCCTAAACCTGAACCCTAAACTTTCAACCCCGCCCTAAACTTACCTTTGGTCAGTAGGGAATGGAGGAATGGGATACAGTTGTTACTACTATTACTACCATTTTCCCATTCCCTACTAACCAAAGGTAAGTAAACACTAAAAACCCTATTCTCAAGGGCTTCATGGTTCCTTTGCGAGACGCCCAGCCTTACAACACCAGAAGCCGGAAGCTCCTTCTAGCGTTTAGGGTTTGGGGTTTGAAGGCTGCACGACCCTAAATCTCTAAGTCTATATTATGCATTTTTCTTTCTCCAAGACCCTTCGCATAAAGCAGGCTTTTCAACCAAAGGTAGACGAAATTGCAACCCCCGAGTGCTGAAGCCTTAAGTAGAGGGTGCTTAAACAACAAGCACGTACGCAGGCACTCAATCCCAAGCCCAAGCCCCAACTCCAAAGCCTAAACTCCGATCATTTAACTGTACCATTGAAGCACCAAGCTAAAGCCCCGACACCCGGAACAAAATCCAAGAGGTAGATCCCACTGAGGGGGCTCCTACAAAGTACCCTTTAGCAGTTAGGGTCCCAACTTAGGGGATCTACCTTTTAGATCCCTCTCCGGGGTCTCGGTACCCTATACCCTAGACCCTGAACGCCCTATACCTTAAACCCTATATTTATCCTAAACCCTACAGACCCGAAAACACAGGTACGCAGTTCTACATCACCACTGCGAAAGCCGACTCATGGTTGCAAGGGGCTTCTACCAACGGCCGATGTGCCACCAGGAATGCACATTTACATTTCCATGTATGTACATGATACCAGTACATACATATATGTACTTAAATATAAACATGTTTATATAAACATACATACGCTTGTTTGTTTGTTTATCCCAGAGATTCCGGTCACCCAACAGGCTACGGGGTCAGCAACACATGAAGTAGGACCCGAAAGACATTTCTGGGAACCGATATGCCAGGCCATACTTAGAGGATCATGGGACTTAGTAAGTAGGTTATAATTGGGGTTATAAGTCCCCTAAGTGGGCTTATCCTAATTATAACCTACTTATAACCTTACTTGCTAAGCCCCATGATCCTCCAAATAGTGATTTGTTTTGTGTTTTGTCAGTGGCCAATGGCTTGTTTTAGCCAGCTGTTGCGAGCAACAGTTTCAGCAAGCTTGAATCCATGTGGGTTTGGAAAGTCAGTAAGTATCCTAATTACATATACTCTTGGCTTGTGTTGCCCAACTTGAGGTCCTAACAAAAGACAAGCTTCGAGGTGAACCTGCAGTTTGTGCCTCTTGCAGGAGCATGTGGTCCCATCGAAGGCGTCATGTGCAGTGCTTCCAACATGAATAGCATGTGAAAGGCTCATCTTGCGCTGTAAGGATAAGTACAGTTGCCTGTCGTGGCATGCGCGGTGCCTCCTTTCTCGGCAAGAGGCAAACAGGTTTGGTGCCACCCCTACCCTGTGCTCGTAGATTGCGCTGATTGCAGTGCATTGCTTCTTCGCTGTGTCATGTGGGCAACTCTTGATGGAGTGGCTTGCTCAGCCATTGATTTCCAGATGATGAGAACCCTACATCCAATAGAAAGCTTCGTGATCCATTAATAATTAAAAGGTACTACAGGGTTCTTTAATCGGGTCCCCTTAAAGCATTCCTTTAAGGGTTCCTTTAAAAGGGTTCCTTTGATAGAACCTACAACTAGCAAGTGCTCAGGAGTTCCTCGACGGAGAGCACGTGCTTTTCGGAGAGGCCCCGAGGGGGCCGCGGGCGAATTGAAGGTTTAGGGGTGGGTTTAGGCTAGGGTTTAGGGGTTTAGGGTTTAGTGTTTAGGGGTAGGGTTTAGGCTTTAGGGTTTTAGGGTTTAGGGTGAATCCTTAGACCTTCAGTTTTGGGTTTTGCGGTTTAGGGTCGTGCAAAGGCTGCATAATACAGGTTGCAAAGGGCTGGTTGATAGGGGGCCTGGGAGGTGGTCGGGCTGCGGCTACTTTTGCTCCGTGTTTAGCAAGAACACTGAAGAGGCATGAGCATTCTGTATATGTAGGTTCACATCATCCCGTCGTGCAAAAAGATAGACCTTTCGAGTGCATGCTTAGATTCACAGGAGGTTGAAGCAGGCAGAGCTGGCATACTCATAGCTAGCTTATAGGGGTACTCCGAATCCTACAACCCCCACAAAGCCTCTAAGGTAAGGGCTAAGCCTCAGCCTTGGAACCATGTAACCCTATCCGCTGAACATCATACCTTGCACTCGAAGTTCAGGATTGCAGGGTTGCAGGACTTGAGCCGAACCGGACGAGACGAAACCAAAAGAGTAACCTCAAGCCCTACCAGAACCCTGAAGAACCTACCTTTATAGGGCTCCTTATTATAGTCCTCAAAAAGGTAGGTTATTCCGGGTTAAGGTATGATGTAGCTATTCTTTTCTTGGTATCCAACTCCCACGAAACGCGATACCCAACACCCTAACCCCGGAGCCCGAAACCCTAAACAAAAAATGAACCAACACCGTAAACCCCAATTGCGGTTGCAAGCGGACTAATGTAGGGGTCTTGATAATCAGTATAGGGTTTCGGTGAGAAGTATACTATAGATATGCGAAAAAACACCCCAACTACCCTGAACCCTGAACCCTTGGTAAGTTTAAAGCCCCTATAGTACAATCCAGAGACTACACCCTGAGGATCCCTAACGCCTAAACCCAAGGTTTAAGGTAGGTGGAATATAAGGTTTAGGAAGTACACAGCCGCAGGATTTAGGAGAGTTTGTAATAAGATAGGGTTTAAAGTTTAGAGAGCACACACCACGCAGACCCAACCTAAACCCCTCACCCCCTAAACTTCTAAACCCATAAACCCCTAAACCCTACCTATAGTCTCCTTTGGGTTTACCAAAATCTCTGTTATAGGATGCTAACCATAAAACTGGTTAACCAAAAAAAGGAACTACAATGGAGACTATAGGCAAACCCCAAACCCGACACGGCTCAAGAGGTGCTCCAGGGCAAAGACGTTGTTCTGGCCATCGAGACGCCTGTTCGGGCTATAGCAGCCTCTAAGTTCAGGGTCTAGAGTTTGGGGTCTAATATAGGGGCCTAAAGAATTAGAAAAGGGTTCCCTTAAAGGGGTCTTATGAAGGGTCCATAATGGTTAATTACTATAAGGGCTATAGCAGCCTCTAAGTTCAGGGTCTAGGGATCTATAGGGTCTCTTTTTAATGGGATCTATAGGGTTTAGGGTTCAGGGAGTTCAGGATCTACTTGGAGGGTTGGGGGACTTAGTAACTGGTTATTTTAGGGAACTTATAAGTACCATAACCCCAATTAAGGTTCCTTTTAGGGTACTTGTCAGTCTACTTACTACCTACTTACTTCTCCCGACCCTCCAAGTAGAGTTTGGGGTTTAATATAGGGGCCTAAATAATTAGAAGAGGGTTCCCTTAAAGGGGTCTTATGGGGGGTCTATAATGGTTACTATAAGGGCTATATTCATAAGGGTTTAGAAGAGGGGCCTAAATAATTACCAATACTATTTGTGGGGGTCCTTGTTACAACTATAGTATAACAGGCCCCGAAACCCTATTCTAATCATCAAGGCCCCCATATTAGGGTTGGGTCTACCTGGACCCTATAAAACCTTTCTTTCTAGGGTTCCCCAGTATGCTTTCCTTGTTTAAGTCTTTAAGAAGGTAGAGTATTTGGGTTCAGGTACCTAGACCCTCCATCTACCCTCTATTAGACCCTAAATGCCCATTATGTTTGGGGCCATATACCTCTATTTAAGGGTACATGGAGGGTTCAGGTAGGGTTTGGGGTTTAGGGTCGAGCTTTGGGTTTTGAAAAGGGATGCACGGGGTTCTTTGAGGGTTTTGCATAGGGAAAACGATTACGTCTACGGTGCAATGAGTGGTGCCTTCTTGGAGGATCATGGGACTTAGTAAGTAAGGTGGATCACACATACCCTCAGAAATTAGACGCAACATCACCGCACGACCCAGAACTATGGCCCTTGCAGCAAGACACGTCCCTTGTGCCATCCTAAGCCACAAGCCCCTAAACGCGAAACCCGAAGCCCCTAAGCCTGTGAAGCCTTAAACCCTCAACCCCTAAACCCGAGACCCCTGAACCCTAAACCCCTAAAGACCCGAAGCCTGAGCCATAAACCCCTCCAAACCCTAAACCCTTGGAGGGCCTTAAGGAGCCGCAGGTTTTCAGAAGCCCTTCCGTGGCCCTGCGCCCGTGAGTGGAATCTGAACACCCCTACCTCTGTCAAGAAATCTGTGGGTTTAGGGTTTAGTGCTTTAGGGTTCGAGGGTTTTGGGCTTAGGGTTTAGGGTTTATGGTTTACGGAACTCATAGCACGGAGCCCGTACAATGTAGGTTTTGTAGGCTTCGGGTAGACCTGGGACCCAAAAAAAGCCTGCAGCATTCCGAGGAGATGTGCTACGCAGTCTGGCGACCCTTCGCAAAGCATTGTTGTGACGGCCTGCGGCGAGATCTGAGTGAAAAGAGTTGGAACGGCCTCTTCCCAGCTGCGACAGCGGTATTCAAGATCACAACGAGTAGCAGAAAAAGGCGTAGCATTCGAGCTTTTCCAACCGCGAGCAGTACAGGTCCTTGGTCTGCAGAAAACTCCAACACTCTAAGTCTAAACTCTAAACCACCACAAGGGTCTGCGAAGCACATGGATGCAGGCAGATTCGCCCCAGCACCCTCAGCGACCCTCAGCGTGAAGCACAACCGTCTAATACTACTAGTCTAGTAGTATTAGACGGAAGTCTGCTGTGGCACGAGTATCGCCAGCGAACCACTCCCTTCACTTGCTGTAGGTTTTCTCACCAGCAGCATGTCCGTACTAAACCCTGAAGCCCCATAAACATCGCATGCAGCTTCTCGAGCTATTGAGACGAGATGCCAAGCCGACCTTCCAAATGCGTAAAGGCACAGTAGAAGTACTGAACTTCAGCTGCATAACCGAAGCCCTAAACTCTAAACCCTACTATAGGGGAAATAATCACCTAGACCATGTTGGTGGTTCCTTAGTACAATTATAGTACATTGGGCCCCGAAACCCTATTCCAATTATTCAGGCCCCTATAGTAAACATCCCTAAACTCTACAGAGCCACCCATGGACTGTCCAGTAGATGAGCGGGCTTAGACAACACATACAGAGCTCGGTCAACCAACATGCATCTGAGCAGCCAACTCCAAACAGCAGCCATAACATAGACATAGCTGGGCTATTTGGAGTGGCATGTTCGGAGCCTTGTGCCGCTCGCCTGCGCTGCCACGCGCTGCCGCTGTGCAGGTGCACGGCAGCCACACAGCATATGGCATGCACTGAATAAGTGTCCCAAGGCCTAGAGTGTCTACAGCTATTTGCAGGGTTTTCAAGACCCCACAAGTGCAATACCCTTCTTTGGTTAAGGAGCGTTCCTTGAATTGTAAAGTGCCGTCGTACTACATGTTAGCGACCTTCCGTGAGCTTAGCAGGGTGCCTATACTTACCTTTGGTTAGTAGGGAATGGAAGAATGGTAGAAATAGTAGTAGTTATAATTGTACCCCATTCCTCCATTCCCTAAGGTAAGAATCTCTTTAAAGGAGCCCTGAACCCCTGTAGATCCCTTTTAAAGGAACTCTATAGATCCCTTTAAAGGAGCCCTAAGCAAAGGTAAGTATGAAGCTTGGTCTTCGAGACCGATACTGAAAGGTGTGTCTTTCCCTAATGCTTCTCCCGTCTGAACAAACAGTGAGGGGATGCCCTACAGTCGCTCTGTAACCAAGATATAGTAAAGCCCCAAACCGCTAGTGTATATATATATATATATATGACGATGATGATGATCATGAACATGATGATGACCTCCCATCAAACAGATTGAAGGTGCAGCAGTCTTTGGGCACGGGTGTCTCAGCATACAGCTGTTTGAATTGTGCGCATCTACGGGTTGAAGCCGGATATCGAATATGCTGGCTTTTAGGGTAGACTTTGTGCATCGTTGTGCCCAAAGCTGATCAGTAGCGGACCTCCATGGAACCAAAAACCCTAACGCCTAAACCCTAAACCCGAGCAGCCCAACCGTAAACCCAAAGCCTTTCTGAAGCCCCTTCGAACCCCGGTCAAGACGTATTGCCAAAAGGGTCCTAAGTACCTTTCATAGAGGCAAACCCATGCTAGTAATTCCTACAACAGGAACATGCATTCTACTATATGTGAGCCTGAAGCCCCCACGGCGTGCCTTGCGTGCACCAAAGCGATATCTTAAGACCCGAAACGTCCAAGTATCAGCATCGTGTAGACTTTTGGGGCCCCCGGCCCCACATATGTAACATCATCACATGTACGAAGAGCCTACGATATTGGCACTTGGACCCTTTGGGAGACTACCGTTCCCGTACAACTTGGAACCTGGCGCCGACAGACCCTAAACCCTAAACCCCAAAACCCTAAACCCTAAACCCCAAAACCCTAAACCCTAAACCCCAAAACCCTAAACCCCTAAACCCTAAAACCCTAAACCCCAAAACCCTAAACCCCAAAACCCCCAAACCCTAAACCCTAAGCCCTAAGCCGTGAGCCGGAACCCGTCAACTTCCAAACCTGAAGCTTAATTTGTCTGTCCAAAACCCTGAAGAATGCTGCTTCCTTCGGCTACGACGACGACTACTACTACGACTACTACTACTACTACTACTACTACTGCTACTACTACTACTACTACTACTACTACTACTACTACTACTACTACTACTCTCCTACTACTACTACTACTACTACTACTACTACTACTACTACTACTACTACTACTACTACTACTACTACTACTACTACTACTACTACTACTACTACTACTACTACTACTACTACTACTACTACTACTACTACTACTACTCTCCTGCTACTACTACTACTACTACTACTTCCACCGCCACCTCTACTACCTCGTAACCTTACGTTCTGCGACAGGTTCGGGCGAGCCTGCCTTTGCAGCTGGGGCCGCCCCTCGACTGCACACGCACCCCCAACGATCTTCATGGAGTCTACATCGCTTTCGTACGGCATACCCTAAGGCCCCAAAGTAGTTCCTTTTGGGGGTTCATATTAAGAATTCTGTAAGGTAATCCCCAAAAGGAACTACTTTGGGGCCTATGGGTAAAATAAGGTTGCGAGAAGCCATGCGTAAGGTCTTCTAGAGGCTTCATAGGGTCTTTCTACAATCGTTAGGGTCTTCGAGATCGGATTACATGTTTGGGTGTCTAAGGATTTCAGGGGCCTGAAGCATGTATCCTAAACCCTAATTATTCCTGAGCTCTGCGAAATTGATCGGTTATTGAAGTGGAAGAACTCTGAAGCCTCTTAGGGCGAAAAGTGCGAAGATCTATCAGAAGAACAGCCTAGGATGTGGGGCTTGCCTACACAGCTGTGTATGGGTTTTACGGATGTATGGAGAAAGGCTTCTGGTTTTAGGCCTTAGGCTTTAGGACTCACGCATGCTATTCTCTCTAAGGGTTGAGGGCTTAAACGGGTACATCCCTTTAAGCCCTAAACCCCAAAAGCCATAAACCCCAAACAGCCCTAAACCCCTAACTAAACCCCAAAAGCCCTAAACCCTAAACCCCAAACAGCCCTAAACCCTAAACAGAAAAAAGCCAAAAACCCTAAACCTCAAACAGCCCTACACCCTAAACCCAAAAAGCCCTAATCCCTACTCTTTCCGACCCAAGGCCACCCCGAATCTCTCATCATCGCACGGCGCTCGGAGGGCCCTGGTTTGCGGTTTGAGGGTTTAGGGCTGCCCCCACAGACTCGTTGTCCCTTTTGTCCTTTTTGGCTTAGTTTAGTAGTGCCCTTTTGAAGGGTTCCCAAAAGGGTTCTACAAGGGATCTATGGGGTTTAGGGTCTACTAGGTTCCTGAGTAGTATTATTCTGCCCTTTTTTGGTTTAGGGTCCCCTTATTAAAACGGAATATTGGAAATCCGATACCTTATTATGAAGGGGGTACTCAGGAACCTAGACGCAAGAAAGTGTCTTCGACATGATGGTTGTTGGATGTTCTATTGGTTTAGACTCGACTCACACTCAACTAGCCCTGAACCCTAAACCTTATCATGTCTCCAAGCTATTTCTCGGATCAGGATTGATACAGTATGGCTCAGGGCTTCACGGCGGCACTTTTTCCGAATAATAGAGGGGCCCTTAGAGGGGCCTTAGTGATTAGAATAGAAATTTGCGGGATCTAGTCTACCAGATGTTTAATATCGAGCCCTCTAGAATACCCAGGGCAGTGTTAAAATACTATTCCTACTAGGACACTCCTTGTAGCCTTAAATAGCGGTATATGGTCCGAAAGAAGGGCCATTTAGGGTCTAGTAGAGGGCAGATGGAGGTCTAGGTACAAACTCCATCCCTAAACCCTAACCCTAAACCCTTAACCCTAAACCCTAAACCCCAAACCCTAAACCCTAAACCCCAAACCCTAAACCCTAAACCTAAACCCTAAACCCTAACCGTTCCATACTTTAGCGGTGCTTGAGGCTTCTCTTACACCTCTTAGTCTCAACAAGGACCCCCGGGCATGGCACCTTGAAGAGAGGCCTTCAGTGCTGAATTGAAGGGTTATAGGGTTCAGGGGCTTAGGGTTTACAGGGTGCTGAGTTGAGGGTTTAGGTTTTAGGGGTCTAGGGTTTAGGGGGTTTAGGTGTCAGGGGTTTAGGGTTTCGGGGGGTTTAGTTTTTAGGGGTTTCGGGTTGAGCATTTAGAGCGTGGGATTGAAGGATTCTGCTTGGTTGCGGTTAATGCTTCATGCTTTTGAGTTCTGGTTTTGGGATGTAGGGTGTACTCACGGGATACTGTCAAGCATTACTGTGGTTATTGTTGTCAGTGCTGCTATTGGCTTCGTCGTGACGTTCTTTCCATGATTGAATCGTGAACTTCATTGAACACATCGGTTAGTTGTGCGTCTTCGTCTTGGTCTTGATGTTGCCGTTGTCGTCGTCATTCCTGAACCCAAGACAAGCTTCAAAGTCATAGAAACTTACAGTACCCAACACCCAGAATCCGACTGTCTTCTGGGCTTAGGGTCGTCGTTCCGGACCTTCTGAGGCGCAGACGTGCGCTGCTTTGCGGCGACAGCTGCAGTGTTCTCAGAGCAAGAGAGCTTTGTGCTTTAGGTGTAGAGTTTAGGGGTTGAGCAGTTAAGGATGTTACCGTTCCCTTCGGGCCCAGGTAGGGTGTTTACGGGTTTCGCAGGGCATTAACAGGTTCAATCACAATCAATCACAACAGGAAGCCCTGCATAACTTAAGCACAGCTGTAGCACCATTTTGTCCCTGAGCCATGCAAAACATCGCTTCATTCAACGAATTTCCTGCCAACCACGATTCCTGCAACCACAAAGCCGGCGAATCAGCGCGCTCTGAACCTTTGCCTAAAGTGCACAGCCCGTTAAAGCAGTAGATCCTCGGAGCCACAGGGATGAGGGACAATGGATCGTGTCCC